CATTTTAAGAATTATCTACAATTCCTAGGAATTCTATATAATAACGGTTTTCATAGATTTCTAGTAACATATGTACTATAATAGGAACGATAATATATTATTATTTTGAGTTGTTATCAGGAAGATGCCACTGCCCATCTCCTGTTTCATTTTCCCTCTGACACCTCTTACAACACCCTCGGAACGATATGGGGTAGTGGATATTCTCACACCACCACTACATGGTTTGTTAAAAACCTTAAAAAATATATAAAAACACTTTCCATATTAAAATTATTTATTGAATTTTTCACACCATGTGGATTTTTGAAGTCCTTACAGATATGAGCAAAGCGCCCTTGAATAATATTTTCAATTTCTGACTGACCCATATACTTTTTAATAGTGTCCATTAAAGAACACCTATCCTGAATTTTTTAGTTTGGCGCGCCACTTTTTGCTTAAGAATCTTAGTTTTCGTCTAAAGTATTTCTTCTTTAGTACACTTTATTTTCACTTGCACGCCCCTATCAATCTTCACGGGATCGTCGTATTCACTGCTGACCTAAGAAAACAAGAAAACTTTATGAAATCAGTATTTTTAGCATCGTACATCGTATTGCTCCACTCATAAGGGTCGTAGCGTGATGTTAGATAGACTTCCTGAAGAATTGGTTTTAAAAATGCAAAAAAATATTTTCAAATCAAACCAGAGATTAGAGAACTCTAACAAAAAAAAGAAACAAATAACTCTTCTACATCATAATGTCAGTACAAATTTACATCACTTAATAGGTAACATATAATACACCGGAGCGCGCCTTCATGGGCACGCATAAATGAAGCATCAAACAAGAAGCTTTATGCTTAGTGTCGTAGTAACTATTACCACACTGCGATTGGCACTAAAGAGTTTAAATATGTATGTGTTTTAAGCTATATAATACATTACGTAATGTAATATTAAAGTCATAATAAATACAAATAAAAGGTATGTATTTAGTAATAAAGGAAAAGGACACTTACAGGTAATTTGTTAAGATTGCACAAATTTTCAAGAATTTTTCGACATTGTTTTTTACTAGTTTGGTCTTCAATATTACAGCCAGTACATTTCACTTCTGTTTCCTTAAGTGCAGAACTACTTTCATAAATGCCAGAACTAGTGCTTGGTACAGCCAGAGCAGCTATTTGCACAATAGACTCTTCATGTAATGCACTTATTGTCTGCAAATAATAACATATTTTAAAAAATGTTGCTTTATATCATACATCTAAACTACTACATTTCTAAATTATATATATATATATATATATATATATATATATATATATATATATATATATATATATATATATATATATATATATATATATTTTACATAATACTTAAATTTTATCTACAATATTAAAAACTATGATAATAAAAAAAAAAAAAACTAAAACTAGAAACTTAATTATCATATAGTCCGACTCCCCGCGGTATCGTGCCAAGAACGGTGGCTGCGTTTCCCCGCTGAATGGCTATACTTAGCCTTTGAGCGAGGAAAGAATAATATATAAATAATAATAGGAAAGATAATTATTATAAACGTTATTAAAGTATCAGAATAATGAGAAACAAAAACTAAATAAAAATAAATTGTCTACCAAAAGAATATATTATGTTACTCATTTTTAATTTAATATTATGAAATCTATGAAATACGTCATTATATAGAATATATAGGAAGTGTACATAATTTCTAAATTTCATGCATTTCCGGTAACATAATAAGAAACATGTACATATAATTAGTTAAGGTCACACGGAAAGTCTCAGATACATCATCAATATGGTCACACTACTTCAGTGCGATTTCTTTTAAACAAAAACAATAAAATTGTTCAAACTTAATTAAATTCAATGTAAAACTATTTGATTTTGACAAAGTTATAATTTACTAATATGTTTAAAACACTGATAAAACGTTTCAGCAAAAAATTAAGTGAAAATACAAAAAGTATGTTTACAAGTATTCAATGTCAGAAGTCACTATTTAAACACTTACGTGTGAAATCTTATATCACCTCGTGGACACCAACTACTGTCGCAACCACGTACTACACAAGTTTGCACCATTTCTTGAATTATAACAATAATTAACTTTAAATATCTCAAACGACGCTGTGAACTGCTAAGTAAACAACCGCCATATTTGTCTAATTTATGTTGAAATATAGGGCTAATGTACCGAATCCTTAGGAAATGGGATTGTAATTCACTGATTCGTGAACCCAATAATGCATACGAGACCTTCAATTTTGGAATTTTTAATGTAACTAATCGTAGATCAACTATTTATTTGTTGGTACATTATTTTACAAAGCTTAACTTCTGATTTAGTTAGTGTGGAAATTATTTCTAAGAATTTACCGGGAGATTCAAATAAAAACATAGCAATATTGTGTTCCACACTAAAAAGAGAAGTCAGACCACAGAGAGTGAGATAAAGATACGTAGGTATTTGACTCAAGCTGTTGTTCCAAGTGTGGCCTCCATCTTTATCTATAACTTCATGGGCCTGCTCCAGTGGAGTTTATACTATTATATCTAAGGATAAATTAGAAAAAAAAACATAACGTCATCATGTTGTATTGTTCTTGTTGTCTCTGAATTGGGATTTCCTGATTATTGGGTATAGATTACAGATTAGTAGTTTGCTTATATTATAGGACTTGTTACTTGTTTTTTTTTTTTGGAATTTATGGCCTGGTATCTAGACCTTTAGGCCAAGTCTTAAGTATTTTTATTCGGTTTATTATAATTTCCCCAAATGTATAATTATCCTTCATAGTTCACTGCTTCACAATATGTTGATGCGTCACATTGTGCAGCCCTTGGGAGATTTTGACGGCAACTTGAGCCAGCAGACAGCTGACAGTTGGCGATGGTATCTAAAGGCGCATATGTAGACAAACAGCTTATCTTGAGAATCCATCACCATCAGAGCACTTGTTTCACCGTTTCCACTAATAGTTCACATGCGTAGACAGTTAATACACAAAATCGCACCACTTTTACATATCAAAGTCCACTTCAAACCATTATTTAAACAATACCACAGGAGCAGCAAACCGACGCCGGTCAAGTTCCCGCCAAAACTCCACTTGTTACTTGTTTAGATGTTTAGGGTTGTTATACTTTTTGTCTTATTGTACTTTATGGTAGTTAATCATAGTCACTGACTTAGAAGTATCTATGATCATAGTCTCCTTTAGGGTTATAATAGGACTCCCCAGAGTGCCCCAGAGTAGTACTAGTATGTTCCTTGAATTCCGTGAATATGACAAAGGCCGAACTCCGTTTCGAACAAAACGGCAACGTTTCGAGATTCCGATTCGGAATCCCGAACGCAGCAAGTCCATATAAAATCTATGACCCGCCACACACGTACGGTAGTTTTCCGTTCGATATTTTGCGGGCAAAACGGGATTCCGTTTGTGTGTGGCCGACCGTTCGAAATTCCGAAACGGAATCTCGAAACGGAATTCCGTATGTATATGGCGGGCCTTAGGCCGGCCATATACATACGGAATTCCGTTTCGTGATTCCGTTTCGGAATCCCGAATCGGGATTCCGTGAATACATCACACACACACGTTTTTTTCCGTTCGGAATAACAAGGGTCAGTTGAGAGACGTTAGCCATTGAGTCTAGACATTCTGCCAGCGAATAATGACGACGATTTTCTAATTGCAAATTACATTGTTGCTGTATCATTCTTACTAGGTGCATCCCCTTATCACCCTAAGCTTGCAATATAGTCAATATTATGTAAAAAGATCTATCTATCCAGAGATATTTTTTAAATATTTATGTATGTAAATTCTATCGAGGAATTATTAAATAAAATAAGATGAAAGGTTACGAAAAGCTATACACCTACAAGATTAAATTTAAAAACATACATAAATACACCTACTCGCTTCGGTCGTGCGACGAACACTGAGCGCATTCCGTACGGAATTTACGTATGTGTGTTGCGACTCGTACAAAATCTATGGAAGACGTGCGTTCGGAGCGGCTTTTTTCCATTCGGGATCCCGAACGCACAGACGATCATACGGAATCTCGAATCGGAGAAATTCCGTACTGAAAAATAACGTACGTGTGTGGCGGGTCATAGATTTTATATGGACTTGCTGCGTTCGGAATCCCGAATCGGAATATCGTAACGGAATCTCGAAACGGAATTCCGTATGTATGTGGCCGGCCTTAGGCGGGAGTACTATTCTCTAGTACATACACAGTAATCTATGGTATTATTTTTTAAACACTCACAAACACTCAAAAAATTTAACTATTCGCACAAACTGTTACTATTCGTATTCGGGCTTGATAAAAATAAAAATCCGGCAAAATATACCTATTTTCAAATTACCAGCTATTATTAGAATTATAACCAGTAGTGCTTGTAGCATAAGTATTTAGTAGTAGACTGTGATATTATCAGAAAAATTGCTAACTTTGGTAAATTTTGAAAAATGGACGGTGAGTTCATATTGCGATATGGTTTGTATGATTGAATTTCCGATTTTTTTATTTACTTTCTTCTTAAACTTGGATTAAAGTTTATGAAGAAAGTTTTAGAAATAGTAAGCTTAAGTTTAGTTGTAGGGATTCAATGCATTTAAAGTTTTAAAGTTGTTTTTCTTTATTTTGTAATATTACTTGAATTCAACTATTTGTCTACCGCTAGTTGGTTTTGTTATAGTTGCAATTGCAAATCAAAAACAATGACGTATTAACTCTGTCTCTAGAGAATTTAATTACTACAGCACAGAGTACTTTGAATAATTCTACAATTTTATTTGTAATTAGTAGATATTATGTATACATCGATCCATTTTTTATCAAAAAAAAAGAACCCTGTGTTTTTTATTGCTGAACTAAAGTTACTAAAGTATTATTTTAAAGTAGATTGTTAATTTAATTTATAAGAAGCAGTTAATAGTATTAATAAATAATTTCAGGGAAAATGTTTTGCTGTGCTTGTGGTGTCGTTGATGAATATTACGATGAAAATGCTATAGTTCATCACAATGATACACCTAAACACGCTTGCAATATGATTTTAATGGCATATAAAGAAAAAAAGTAAGTGAATTTAGCTTTTATGAAAGTTTTTTTTTAAGCATTTTCATTTAATTCATATATGACATATATTCATATATTCGGTATGACATTGGTCCCTTGGGAGAGAGGTAAAGCCCTACTGTGGGATGCTATTTGCGTAGACACTCTGGCGGCCTCTCATCTCAGGGGTACCTCGTTTAGAGCCGGGGCGGCATCAGACAGCTGAACTGAGTAAGTGGCACAAAATATGAGTCTCTGAGAGATGACTACATATTTGTGCCATTTGCTGTAGAGACTATCGGTCTGTGGGGTCCACGTGTGATGAAGTTCTTAAAGGAACTCCATCCGCGGCTGTTTATTGCTGCTGGTGATAAGAGGGCTGGTTCTTTTCTCGATTAAAGGCTAAGTATAGCCATTCAGCGGGGAAACACAGCCAGCGTTCTTGGCACGATTCCGTGGGGAGTAGGACTATATGATAATTAAGTTTCTAGTTTTAGTTAGTTAGTTACTGTATATATAATTAAATTCATATATGTATATATATGTTTATGTTAGTAAGTTATAGGTACCTACTTTTTTCAAGATAAATACACTTGTATTTAATAAGTCATGACACTTATTATAACAAGTAATAAATAATGAAAAAAAAAACTTAATTGAAATTAAAAAGCAACTGCAAGAACTAAATAGAACAAAATAAATTTCACATAATAGCTTCTGAAGTCAGGGTTTTAAATGCCCTGTTCTCTCTGGCTTAGTTCCAGAGGTCCATTCTAATATCATTCAGAGTGATGTGATGTATCCTTGGAATAGTATTGGATGAGACTTGCTCTTGAATTACTACTCATTACAAGTGGCTCCAACAATAGTGTGTAGAGCTCTCTGAGAACCTCTCAACCTCACTCAAAATCTCAGTTATATTAGCAGCAGGATATTTCTTTTTATTTATAAAACATTTGTAGCGGACTTGACACTTTACAGCGTTTATATATGTGGTAGAGCCATGCTGCATCTATATTATGGTTGTAGCACGAATGGGTTGGCTCGACCGGGGAAGGACCACGCTCTCACAGAATACCAGCGTAAAATAGCAACTTAACGCTGCTGTGTATTGTATGGTGGGTGTAGAGAACCGGAGACCCTTTTTACTGGAAACGAGGCATTCCATCTTAGTCCTCACGGGTGACAACGCATCTGCATTTTGACTCTTAATCGAAGATAGATGTAGATGTCTATGGGCCACAGTGACCACTTTCCTTCAGGTGGACTGTGTGCTCGCTTGTCACCCTTATCCTATAAAAAAAAACTTATAAAATTATTTTTTTGAATGTGAAAAAACTTAAAAATGTCACGCCTATTGTGCCATCGGCCATGTGTAAAAGTAATGTTCTTTTTTATGCTTTTTTTACTTGTTTAGACCTAATTAAGTTTATTTAACATCAAACATAAGTTACAAATGGAAAGATACTTGTTTTTAGTGGGTAACTACGTATTTTTTTACGCGTTTTCTTTGGAATTGAGAGAAAGTGACTTTTTTTATGAAGAGATTACAAACCTTTTGTACTATTTTTTGTTGTTATAAAAAAGTCATTTATATAAGTAGGTACAGCTAAATCACTCTGGAAACCTTGGTTTTTATTAAATTTTCACCTAATAATAACATTTGTAAATATCAAACAATGAAGAACCTTAATTTGAAAAAAAAAAAAGGTATATCATTCATTGATATTTACAAATTTTAAATATTATTTAATGTTATACAAAGAAAGCAGCAAGAAAAGTTAGAAAGAATAGCAAAACAAGTGTTTTCAAAATGAAAAAAATGGCGGTGGATTGACAAAAGACTATTTATTAGCGAACTTTTTTTATGCATGAACGGTTTCGAACTGTTTCAAGCAAAAATAAACCTTATACCATATCACAAGAGCACATGGTACTTCATAGGTCTATTCGGCCATATGATAGTAATAAGACGGCAGTTCAACCATTTTAAGCAAAATTAAACAATAAGACAAACGCATTGTTTCTTTTAACAGGAGACTTGTTTTCCAGAAATTTTTTTCAACTTGAGTTTGTGAGCGATCGCAATGAGTGCTATTATTTGTTACTTATTAGACAATTTTTCCATAACATGATTTAAAACCCACAAAGTAAAAATAGTACCATGTACACGTTAAAAAAAGGTTGTCAACCCCTAAAAAAAAAACGAAGCTGCATGCATGAACTACTCGTAAAATAATGAATATTTTGTTCTGGATAAATTTTCCAAAAAAGCAATTTGAGCGATTTTTAAAATGACACGACTCGCGTGTCATACGCCACACAAAAGTAATCGATGGCACGCCTGGCGTGTCACCCGCACTGAACCGGTTTGTTTAATTTTTTTTATTTAATTAAATTAATAGGCAGAAAATGAAATAAAACTGGCTTAAAATAAGGCAAAATCTTTTGTTATTTTATGTTATTCTTATTATTCTACTACAATAGTCTCATGTACTAAAAATCTATTTTTTTTTAGAAATTCACTCTTAATATATGTAATTGATACAGTATTTATTTATTACTCTTAATCAGTCTCATACATATCTATACAAAGAAACGTATAACAAAAACACAATTTTTTAAATTTTTGTCTGTTTGTTGTTCCGGCTAATCTCTGAAATGGCTGAACATATTTTGACGGGACTTTCACTGGCAGATAGCTGCTGCCATAAGGACATTTTTTTTTCTTTTTTTTAAGGACTTATTTTAGAAAAAGAATTAGGGTTCCGCACAAAAAACTAAAACCCCATTAACACACGGGCGAAGTCACGAGGAACAGTTAGTGTATTCATAAACTTTTAAATCCTACTATGTCAAAAAGTGTTACCAACTCGTGAATTTACAAATATACAAAAAAAAATCATGATTTTTTCCATCCCTGAAACCATCCCTGCGATATAGGAGAAAATCCTAGTGTGGAGGTAACGTTTTTTAAAAAGAGAGGAAGAGAGACAATAATGAAATTAAAAATTTGTAAATTCGCATTATTAAGGATAACTCCAAAACTACTGGTCAGATCTTGATCAAATTTATATGGGACTACATTAGAAGCACCAGCTTTCAAATAAAACACCAAAATTGATTTACCTAGAAAAAAGTTCTGAGGTAACACACATAAAAAATACAGTCGAATTGAGTAACTCCTTTTATTTGAAGTTGGTTAAAAATGGTAAGTAGGTAAATTATCTGAGTTTCAAAGACGGTCACATTGTTATAATCTTAATTTTCCTCAATGTTGCATATTAACCTTTTCACATTGAACGATAAAGACTAAAGTTTTTATTATCAGCAAATTGATGGCTCCATTGTGCAGTGGCCTAGCAATGTGTTGCAATGCTGGGGCGGCGGGTTCGAATCCCACATGTACAAGTATTTGTACGGCTTACAAATAATTTTTCCGGGTCTTGATGGCTGTTCTTGTGCAATTTATGTTTGTTAATTGCCTCCACAATACAGGAGAAAATCTTAGTGTGGGGGTAACGTTTTTTTAACAATATATGAAATACTAATACATTGATATTTGATATTGACACCTCGGGGTATTCTACTATATACCAACTAATATCAAAGGATTCAATTTGTTTTCTCACAACACCTAACCATACAGTAGAAGAGATATGTTAATACCACTTCTACTGTAGGGTTAAGTGTTAAGTGGGTTTGCTAAACAAAGGTGCGTAACGGGCTAAGTGATAAAGACACTCGCACGCGGACGTAAGGTGCATTTTGATTTAATACGCGCGGCACATAATATTTTTTTTCGCCGAAATAAACTAGGCTAATTTCACGAAGATCAATTCCGAGGCGTACGAAGTATTATGAACATTAGCGACTTTTTAACTAAGTTTAAACTCACAAGTTTGCTATCAGAGAGTGATCTTTCTGCTCTTTTAACTATTATTTATTCTGTGGTGGTAGTAGCTGCAGGATATTCCTTTTTACCAACGACTAGTACAATTTTTTTATATGTTATTTATATTTCAAGAAATTACATATCAGAAAGTATTTTTTTTGCACATTAATAATTTTGCTAACCACTTTTTACTGTAAAAAATGTGAGGCCAATACCTAGTCAGGTCATAAATTCTGTCACATGTTTAATAGAAAATAATTGAAACAAGTTTATTCATTATGTAACCATTTATATACCAAAATGAACTTAACAAAACATAGATTCTTATGACACTAAAGTTTATTCAAAATGACCTCCGTGATTTTGAATACAGGCCTTCAATCTACGCGGCCAGTCGTCTATCGCAGCACGAACGAGGTCCATGTCAATATCGGCGGCTGCCTTAATCAAGGATGTCTTGAGTGACTCCAAATTGGGATGAGGCTTTGAGCACGCCTTTTCCTCCAAGTGTTGCCATAATATCTTGTAATCTAACGGATTCAAATCTGGACTGGAGGAGGGCCAGTCTTCGTGCCGGATGAAGTCGAGTTTACACCTTTCTCACAAAAATGTACCTCTGTTAAGGCCCAATAAGAAACTCCCAACCATACCATGAGCGAGGATGGAAAATGACCTCGTTGGACACGCGGAATACGGTTGCTCGCTTCTTCACTACTGTGTACGTACACTTTATCATTTTGTTTGTTGTAGCTCTCTTCTACGGTAAAATTTTTTTCATCCGAAAAAAGAATTTCCCGATATTTTTTCCCGCGTACCGCTTCAACAAAGCGCGGCATCTCTTCAGTCTCAGGTCCATTAGACGAGCATTCAAACGATGTCCTGTTTTTCTTCGATATGCCCGAAGCCCTAAGTCTTCATTTAACACCTTTTTCACCGTGGTTCTGCTTAACCCCATCTGAAGGGCCAACAGTTTCTGCTTACGTTTAGGATTTCTTTGAATTCGCGCCTTCACAGCTTTTATCACTGCTGGAGTCCTAACAGACCGAGGGCGACCACTTCTTGACCTGTCATCTACACTAGAGTCTTCATTGTATCGTTTGATGGTACGATAAACGAATCTTTGGGTTATATTCAAATTTTTCAGTATGTCAAAAATTTGAATTGGCGCGTAACCGCAACGATGCAACGCAATAACTGCAACACGGTCTTCTTTAAGCGTCCACTCCATATTTAAAAATGAGTAAAATTCTAAAAAGTATACAGTTTTATTTTCATGAACAATCGAAATTCGAATTCAATAAACTTTTTTGTGGCCAGCATTCTAAAAGAAAAGTTTTTACTGTGTGACAATACTTACGACCTGACTAGGTATTTCCTTAGTCATGGCTTGTTTTTTTTTTATGAAATCGGTAGCAAATGGGCATATGGCTCACCTGATGGCAAGTAATTACCGTCACCCATGAACATCTGCAACACCAGGGGAATTGCAGGTGCGTTGCCGGCATTTTAGAAAGTAGTAGGCTTTTTCCTTGAAGGTCCCTAAGATGTATCGGTCTGAAAAACCCGTTGGCGGCAGTAAATTCCACAGTGTGGTCTTGCGAGGCAGAAAATTCCATACGAGGCCGAACCTGCGCTTTGTAAAGCTGCAAGCATTGGGCCGTTATGAAATACAGTTTCAATCTAATAAGCGCACCAAGCTTTATTGATGCCAGTTACTTCCAAGTAATTGCAGAAATGTACGTCTCCTGAAGTGTCAATGTCAAGGATTCTAGCTGTGTTCTCATATGTAATTTCTTGAAATATTATAAAATTGTATCATATATAGCAACCAAACATAGTGACATTTCATTTTACGAATTTAAATAGGTCTAATTTGCTCATTAATGTCTTTAAAAGTAGGGTGTTAACGAAATTAAATGAAGTGTCTATTATGCCACCAGTGGTTGGTAAAAAGGAATATGCTGCCACTACTACCACTAGAGCAGAAATGATGCTTTTCTGTCGCAAGTTATTACCTATAATTTTTTGCATTATGTTAATTAATAAGGTTGAAAATTTATATGTATGGTAGAATAGTCTGTATAGCGGCAGACTAACAGAAAAAGCTGTACTGCCACAAGATAATAGTCACTGTTACATAGTGCATTGCACCGACAGCACACATTTCAGTACGGTACATACCTATTTATTAGGATCTTTTTAAAGTTAACAACATACTCATATTGTAAACAACCTTGTAATATTTATCAATTTTTCTGTGTTACTGTGACGGAATATGAGCACCAATTATCCAGAATTAACATGTTTAGAATTGCTATAATAAAAAAAAATTGATGGGATAGACCACTGCAAAGCTGAAAACGATTTTATAATAGTGTCAAGTCCACCACCAGTGTATTATAAATAAAAAGAAATATCCTGCTGCTAATATACCTGAGATTTTGAGTGAGGTTGAGAGGTTCTCAGAGAGCTCTACACATTATTGTTGGAGCCATTTGTAATAAGTAGCAATTCAAGAGCAAGTCTCATCTAATACTATTCCAAGGGTGTTTTGGACAGCAGTCTGAATGATATTAGAATGGATCTTCCGAACCTTTAAAATCAGCAATGCCTGTGTGTATTTTCTGGCATGGATGGAATAACAGTTCTTCGGAGATAATGTGGCCAAGATAACTCAAGATTATTTTTGAAGAAAGCACATTTTGCACTAAGTTTCAGATTTGCGTCTCGAAGTCGAGTTGCGCGACTTGAATGCAAGTTTTTAAAAAATGTTAATATTTGGCCTAAACAGTGCGTGATGCTCCTGTGTCAATTGTCAATCTGCAGACTTTTTCATTTAAAATGCCCGTAACATGTAACATGTCGGACCATACCGATGCTTCTTTTCTTCCGTTCATGATACTTGTAAGCAGCCCATGATGATGTCTTGTGAAATTGTGGTCAATCACATTTGCTTAATGTCTGCGCCAACGCAATCGGGACCGAGGTACACTAACTTATATTTTTTAAAATCCCCTGAGAGTACCTGAATACAGCAATTGATATTGTTGAGTCCGTCTTCAAGCGTTTCAGTACTAAACGCAACTTTTCATCTTATCACTGAGCATTTGAAACCATTGTGTTTAACTGATGATATTCTGTAGTTCTTGATAGGCCCTTACCTGCTATTGCGGAGCAGCTGCCAGTTCTTTTTGAATTGCCAAGTGGCTTCTTGTCCACGAAGAACGGCTTCTTGTTCACTAGGAGCCGCGACCAGAAACGCAGCCATGTTCCCGTCTAATGCCGGCCCTGAAGGTGACCCTCTTGAAGGAATCGGTTTTTAGTCAGCAGTATGGCCCCGCGAATCTTCCAGTTCATGTTGCTGTCCATTTCCGCTTGCCTCCTGGCAATACGCAACTGCCTGTCGTAACTATATAATGCACTAATTTAAGAGTGTAAGCCTAATTAATTAGGAAACAAAGCATTTTTAAATTAAATCTAAAAAAAAAATCTCTTCTTATTCTTCCCTTTTTCTAACAGCCTCTTATAGACCACTGCTGAAATTGGGTCTCTTTCTATTGTAGGAAGAATTTGCACCAATTGCAACACTTGGTAAGCGAATTGGCTATTGCAATATCTGATATCTCGCACCTTTGATGTTGCCAACTTAATAATAAAATAAAAAAAAACATATTTATTAATTTTTCGTCACATCAAATCACATCCAATGTTGCGTCCATTCCGTTATAATATTTCTTTTGTCAATCGTTTCACTTCATTATTTAATTGTATTTATATTTACTTTTTAATTTTAAATAGGCCCCGGCGGTGCGTGTGCGTTGCTTCAGCGCACCGCCTTGCAGGGTCGCCATGTAATAAAGTATTCAATGTGTTTAACAGAAAAAACTTCAGCAAGAATCGTGATGGTGTCATCATCCTTGGCAGTGTTGAAAGTGAACCTTTGCCTGGTGCTGATATTAATAAAGTGGAGAATACAGATCACCATAAGATAAGGATAATGGTAACTATTTTTGCATAGTTCTTTAAAATATTTCCTGATCTTATTATTAAGCAGAAGATTTTTATAATACAAGAAATTATATTATATCGTTTTTTTTTAAACAAAATCTATGACTTGTATATTTAAGAAGAAATATAGTCATGTTTTAAAACTAATATATATTAATAAATAATGAGCGGAAATGTTTATTAAATTGCACAGAAAAAAATTGGCTCTAATTTTTTGTGTAAATTAATGCTATATTTTAGATATTGTTTATGTTAACAGTAAACTTTTTTAATATTACGAATGTGACAAAAGGGCTAATGGTCTACTTGATGGAACATGGTTACTAATAATTAGACACAGATGTATTGCCATCCTGTGTACTAAAAAAACCGGCCAAATGCGAGTTGAACTCGTGCATGAAGGGTTCCATACCATCGTAATACACGTTACTAGTAGGGGAGTCCCTTCTAATATTTAATTTATTTTAATTTTTACTATTTGGTGTTATAGCGGCAACAGAAATACACATTCTGTGAAAATTTCAACTGTGTACCTATTACGGATCATGATAATAGTGTTCCGTTGTATACCCTATGCGTACGGAACCCTAAAACAGTGTTTCAGTCTGTATTTATTATCTCTCTTAACACTTCAAAGTGGAACATAGCAGTATTCTACCTTTTTCTGCCGCCAAACAGCAATTCTTGGTGCACATAGTGTGGTGCAAATCCTGACGGAATCCTAGACAGAAAAGGAGGCTTTTCGTTTACGTTATTTATGCTTTTAATATTTGTTACATTCCAGGCTAAACCCAACCAGCCAGTGAAGTTTTCATTCAGTATTACTAATGATATGCGAAATGAAGACTTGTTAGTTGTTGGTATTCAGTTGGCTCATCCACAGTCACAGTTTCTTATGAATGAACATCCATACATATTTGGTGAAGAACCAAATATTTTGGAGAAAAGTAAGTTCCATAATATTAAATAAAATTTGCAATAGTGATTGGTGATTATTTTACTTTTTGCGTGTTCTTTCGTTACAGCCTAATGGCCATAGTTGCCACGCTTGGGAAGCGGATTGTGGTAACCGCAGTTTTTATTTTTAATAATTATTAGGAAGACCCTGCTATCCATCTCCTGATATTTGTTTCCCTCTGTCGCTTCTTACGACACCCACGGGATGACATAGGGTAGTGGATATTCTTACACCACCCCTTCCGCCCTTAACTACAATATTTTCGATGTCGTATATTTGCTAGTTTAAATTTGTTGTTCCAATATCAATCGCAATTTTACTACCGGTCAGTGCAGTCGCTTTGTAATAACGTGACTTACGTGGCGGCTCTAATGCCGAACCTACAATATTTTCGTAGCGTAAGCATACCTACTGCGCGAAAATAATTCGAAATGGCGTGTCAACCTAAACGCTCCGAAACCGTCGTAGTTCACGAGTTCCTGGCCTTTGTTCAACAAAAATGGGACGTCATCGACCAGGTGTCTCTGGAGCAGATATTGTTGACAAGCTTCACCGAGGACGAGATCATCCAAGCGAAGAAGGTGTTAACAGATTCAGCCGTGAGCCAAATCCGTCTCATCACACGTCACAGGGATGGACGCGGTAAGAAAGACCTGCAAGACATCTTCAGGCTGTTCAATGAGACCGACCCTGATGACATCCCAACTTTCGTCGCGCGTGATCTCAACAAGCTGCCTCCCGTGACGTTCGATCACGTAGACGTGACCAGATTGTTGAAAGACATCACCACGTTGAAAGCCGATGTTACCGACATCGGTTCCAAATTTGAAGAATCGGAACGCCCCGCAACAGAGCTGAGGAACGAAGTCAATATGTTGCGCAACATAATTGCAATATCTGCGAATTCACCGCCGTCGTAGAATGTTAATACGATACGCGGTAACCGTAATAGTAGTCATATTTCACCGATAATTGCGATTCCGTCATGCGATACCGGCTGTCAGCGGGTTGATGACCGTGAAACTAGGGCGACCTCGGTCGTCATTGCATCACGACCTCAACCCTTGACTGAACCCATTAGTACTCAGCAGCCGAAGCCAACCTCAAAACAAGGGAAGACGTTTGCGGATGTTGCCCGAAAATCTTTACAACCGGCACCCTCTTGTGGTCGAAAGCGAAAGAACGTGGAAATAAAATCAGTTCCAGTGGTGACCCAAGACAAAATTGATAAGGACGGGTTTACTATTGTTGAGAAGAGACGTCGGTCGAGACCCGTCTGTAACCAGCGTGGGACGGCCAAAATAAACGCGAGTACAACTCTGCGTGCTGTGGAGCCAATTATACAGCTCTACATCTCCCGTTTGGACAAAAGTACGTCGGGAGAAGACGGCCTGCGTTTCGTGGAAGAACGACGCCGATGCCGCATTGAGGATCCGATCTCTTTACATTTGCAGCGTCTGGAAAACACAAAGAGACATTCCTCGCTCCCGATTTCTGGTCCTCTGGGGTAGTGTTTCGCCGATACAGGGACGCGCCAAAGAAAAAAGTTCCCTAAATAGTGTTATGTCTATATTTTATATATATTTTTAGGTTAGGGTATATATTGCTATGGGCCAATGTTTTTGATTTTTAAGTCCTTGATGCCTGAAATAAAGTTATTGTATTATTGTATATACTTTACTTGAGATTCCCAATTCTTATTTAAGTCCTTTTCAAACTGTGGTGACCATGAAGTTCCCGTTTTTAAGTTTGAGTTTTCTTTCGCTGACGCTATGTCTGCGACTATGGAAAAATTGAAACACGTTACTTTCTAATATGAGTTCCTTTGTCGCATCAATGCTATACAAACGGCATACAATAACGAGTATGAAACAAGTAGCGCAAATAAACGCACGTTGCGTTTTTTATTTGATGTCTTTCGGTCTGAAAATTTCTACTTCGACACCAAGCCCCATGGACTTGAAAACAAAGATGATAACATTGAATAGAAAGCTTGAGTGAATGAGTATTCATGTCAAACCACGTGTAAGCAGCAGCCTTAAGACTTTGACTAATTTGCGTAAATAAATAAGTTCTGAATCAGCACAGAATTGAGGGGATTTTAGGGGACTAAATCAAATTTCTTGTGATTGTACGGTGATCATGTGCCAGATTTGCATTATACCAAGTTGTTACCAATGTTTTTGATATAGCTTTAGGGCAAAAAGAATTGACTGCGCTTATTCAATGTGTTTTTTTTTCAAATGAAGTATTTAAATGAACTATTTTCTTTTGATAGATGAGTTCTCCTTATGATGTCTTTTGCTGCAAAGTGAATTGTAAATCAACACTACAACAACAAAATTGCAATTAATAATTTAATCGGTGCTTGAGGTAATCTAAATAAACGCTTAATCCCCTGAGTTACCATGCTTCCCACAACAAAATAAGAGCAAGTAAAAAAATTATAGCCTATATACGTACCACTGCTGGGCACAGTCTTCTCATTTTTGAGAGGGTTAGTAGGTAATAATTATTATCTTTATGAAACCGATGTGCTCACAAGAAGTTACAGCAAACACCCTACTCAATTAAAAGCAAAACAGGAAACTGTAATACAACTAACTTTACGTCGCATGTTTTATAATCAATTTTATTTAAATAATATTTAAACGCGAGCTATTTAAAATTATATAATTACTTTTATATACACACTTCCTTTCTTTTAATTTAACAAGTTAATATTCATTGTCTAGCAAAAACATTTGAGTAGAGGTAAAGCTAGCGTTAGCAAATAATAGATTCTTGTCAATCCATCTCCCCTAGTCTACAAGTTTTCACAAAATCTATCACACAATGCACAATGGAGTTTCGATTGGAAATTTCATGCCCACTGTTCTTACTACACGCCAGACCCTTGTACTTACTAATTTTTGTTTAGTTATTCGGTAAGTACTCTCTTGTGGAATAAATATTTTCGTCACCAGGAATTCTAGTATACGTTGAGTATAGTATCATACTCATACATTGGTATCATAGTAAAATTGACTTAACTTGGCGTATACAAAAGAAAATGTATATATGTATATGTATGATATCTGTAGTACCTAATAATATTATTTATTGTTACTAGGATTCTTATACAACATTCAAAATATCATGTTACAGAGACCACCATAAAGGATCAAGTTTTTGTAACATTTGTGTCTTCAGATATTGGACAATATGAGATGCCTATTATGTTCACATTTCATAGGAGAAGTGATGAGAAAAATATCATAATTGTGCGAGAAATGGTAAGATAATCTTTTATTGCAACAGAATTTGTATGAATATTCAATTTTCTTATTATTATTATTTATGGAATATAATTTCCTTGGTACATTAAACCCTTGTTTTGTTTGTCATACTAATCCATTAATATAGCTCGAAGAAATGACAACCAATGGGGAAGAAAGGTTCTCGAATAGTAGGCTCGTAATGGTAGGCGAAATGTAGGGCACCCCCCTACTAGATGGAGTGACGACCTGGTAATACATACAGGAGGTCGATGGGCGTAGGTGCCTCAGGATCGTGCTTTATGGCATTCCTTGGGGGAAGTTTATGTGCAGCGGTGGACATGGGAAGGGCTGTAATTATAAGTATTGACGATTAAATAAGAGCTGTGTGATGTACTAGTTAGTTAAATTTTTTTAGTACGCAAGAAATCTGCATTTGATCCTCACCAATACATCTAAAATTGTCATTTTATTATAAGTAGTATGTAAGTAAGTGTTTTAACTTGTACTCGGTGGGGAAGCAAAATGTTGCGATAAAACCCGCATTTACTATGATATAAACAAGAAAAGACATAGAAGTCGGCCAACACAGCAAGGGAGCAGAAGTGCCACCTGCTTCATAACCTCCTGAGAAATAAGAGAAAGCCTTTGTCCTACAACAAGTCGTATAAGGGAGTTATATTTAACTAGAATGTTGAATGGGGGCCAAGATTAAGAAAATTGTAATCAATATTATTTGTCCTCCTAAGTAATATTCTCCTTGGACACATATACATTTTTCAGATCAGTTAATAAACACGCTTTTGTTACTGCGATAACAGTAATCTTTCACACTGTAGGAGAGGAAAGAGGGGAATACAGCACTAGACTAGTTTCGGGTTGATTCGTAGGATGAGTAAAGTCAATATGACAAGTTTAGATATTTACGTTTGATATGTCAAATTGGATATCTGGATGTAAAGGAGGCGAGAGTGGGGTGTCAGGATCGTGCCAAATGGAAGTCCGTAGTCTCTGCCTACCCCTCTGGGTGACAGACGTGCGTGTTTATGTATGTCATAATTATGTACACGGGACTCACTTTTGAGAGGGTTTTGGGCCGTCAACACGCAGCCAACAGTTGGCGCAACATCTTGGCGGCCTGCACATATTCGCGAAGTGTTTTCAATTTCCTGTAATTTTTTTCCTTCAACAACTACCGGCATATGTGTGACATGGATGTTTTCTTCGTCGCAGCTGTGCCGGCGAGGGTCGATTAATTTGCGAGCGATTTGTTGTGAAGGTTCGTCCGATTATTAGACCAATCTCGGGTGCTTACTATATGTATCGTCAAACACTTTAGAGTAAAACATTAACGTACTATAAAAAAATCCACTTCCATTTCCACCATTAGGTGATAGTCTTGTGGCTTATTGTCTGTGAAGAAAACTAAATACACACATAGGATAATTGTTTAGCCAAGAGAGTATGTTACAAACAGCATTGTTGTCATTTTGTTGTAGGTTGTTTCAGTTTATGAAGAGCATTTTGTTTACAAATATACAAAGACCCCTTTTACCAACAAGGATTGGGAGCGAGCCGATCACATACTGTCGTGCCTTGTGTTAGTATAATTTGTCTATTTTTCTTAAGTTTTTGAATGAAGAATTACTATAGTCTTTGCGTTATAGCATGGTGCGGGTGACAGCGTACAGTTTAGCATGTGTAGAGATGTAACAATGTTAAATCGATTTAAAAAAGGCGATGAACGATACACAAAGCAAAACAAAAATTATCAATTAGCTATCGATAAAAAAAATTAAACCATAACATATATTTCTTTATAAATAAATTATAATCTATGCAAATTTTAGTCACACTTTAATACAAATGATAACATAGTTCATATCATACTCTGTGCTAATTTTAAAATAAGAATTATCTTCTCTACTATGTTAATTGCAACATTTATCTTGACATTAAAACAAAATAATTGCTAGCACCTGTGATCTTTAGTACGGCGTTGACTACACCTGCAGCTTTTCAAGGTATGAGTGTTAGCGCCTTTCCCTCTAAATGAGTATTAGTGTTGCCAGATCCCAATGGGTCAGAAGGTAAAAATAATCGAGAATTCGGTTTATAAATCTAATAGAAAGAAAGAAAGAAAGAAAGAAAGGTAATAAAGGAACAACAGATTTTTGTAGCTCTTTTTGGCCGCCATGAGCTATACTAAAGTCTTTGATGACGAGAAATGAGCTAATGAACGAATAATTTATCGTCCAAACATCGGAAAAACTGCATATTCGTCTGTGTGCATTTTTCTTTTTCGGCAAATCAGAACTTGCTGAACGGTTAGTTATCGTTGCAAAGATTCGGAATCGGATATCGGAATGACTTATCTTAATGTTATTCTGAAAAAAGTAATAAATCTTATGAACTCAGAACGAATGCACTTCAAAAAACCCTCAAAAACGGCATCATAATTGAAAAGCACACATTCATTCTTAATCAAATTATAACCTCAAACGCACAGATATAATCCTGATATCGCACGCATAATGTTACTTTATTTATTGAAATCAAAAGTACCTACAACCGCTTGAAGAAATTGAATAGTTGAGAAACTAACCCACAAGAAGAAGAAATCTCTTGCGTTTTACTAAGTGTACTTATCTAAACCGCAGCATGTAAGTTAGGTACTGCACTAATTACTACTATTAGAATTAAATAATAAATAATGGTCGAATTGAAGACGTCGATGCATAGCGTGGCAGACCGGGCGGCATCACTCAGTGAGAGAAAAAACGAAACAGCATGAATGATATCTGTATCTCGCTAACACAATACACAGTATGTTGCAAACGCACGCAAGTTACGTTCTAGTGACCTGTCACCCCTCACCATGCTTATAACGCAAAAGTTTGTCACAGTTATGGATCTTAGTTTTCTAAATATTTTTTTTATTCTAATATACAAATTAATGTTATACTAAATCATAGAACATCATGCCTACTCTTTCTCGTATTTTTTAATCTAGGTTAATAATTAATTCAATGAAATATGATATTTATTTTATATCCTCAATGGTACGTGGTATTATGAGTGCTGAAGCTTAAACCTACGTGAATATTTTAGGTTTAATATGGTGGTGTGAGGTAAATCGCGGGGCGGTGATACCAAACCCGCTGCTCAATTGGTTCGTTATTGAAACACCGCATAAGATTGTTTTTTTTTTATAGGAGAGAGGGGGCAAACGAGCATGCGGTTCGCCTGATGGTAAGTGACTACAGCCGCCCATGAACAACTGCAACACCAGGGAAATCGCAGATGCGTTGCCGGCCTTTTAAAAAGGAGTATGCTCTTTTCTTGAAGGTCCCTAAGTTATATCGGTCCGGAAAAATCGCTGATGGTAATCGATTCCACAAAGAAGTTGTGCGAGGGAGGAAACTTCTTCTAAATCGCACAGTGGTGGACCGCCAATTATCCAGATGAAATGGTTGGTATCGCGAGTTTTGTCGCGATGTGCGATGGTGAAATTGAGCGGCTGGTATTAGTCCGGACAATTCCTCAAAGCACTCCCCGTGATAGATGCGATAAAAGAGATGCAACATCTCTACGCAATGCCAGTAAGTCAAGCCGATCGGAAAGAACTCGGTCGTCGACGATTCGAACTGCTCTGCGCTGGATGCGGTCAAGTGGAAGGAGCTGGCACTGAGGAGCCCCTGCCCAGAGATGGGAACAGTATTCCATGTGAGGCCGAACTGTAATAATAATAACTATAACTGTCACATTCAAAATGGTGTAATTGTTTTTAAAAAGCCCAAATTAGTCCCACCAAAATTGGTCATTCCGCAGACCCCTATGAAACTTTAATGCTTTTCGCCCTGAGCACATATATTTTTTTAAACTAATTATTTTTCAATTTCTAGACCGCATCAATCAAAGTTTAAAATACCAAAGTTATTAAAATTACTTTTACCTCATGGTTTAGAAGAAAAAGCCTTGGAAGATATAAATGCCCCTAGGGAAATTATAGAAAAACTACGGCTGTTAATAATTTCTACTAGGTAAAGAATTCTTGTAATATATTTATGTGATTATATTTTAATTCTTTAAAATTATTATGTTTAAGTGAAATATAAATTATAATATATATATATTTCTTTTTAGGGCTATATTTGACGAAGGACCAACGAAAATGAATTACATGGCTTACTTTCATCACCTACTCTGGTGGGAAGAAATTATAGCAAAAATGAACTTAAGGGTAAGCAATTTAAATTACACGTTGTAATATGATATACCTAGTCTGGTCATAAGTTCTGTCAAAACCTTTTTATAAAATTAATGATACACTTGATAATTATATAGAAATTATATGTGAAATGAAAGGTAAATTTATTTACATTATTCAAAATGCCCTCCCCTATTCTGAATACATGCCCTCAATCGACGCGGCCAATCATCAATCGCAGCACGCACCACATTCATATCTTTTTCTGCCACTGCTTTAGCCAAAGATGCTTGGAGAGATTCCAAATTCTGATGAGGTTTAGCGCAGACTTTCTCCTCCAAATATCATATCTTGTAATCCAGTGGGTTTAAATGTGGACTAGAAGAGGGCCAGTCTTCATGTCCGATAAAGTCAATTCCACGGGCGGTCAACCAGTTTTGCGTGCTTCGTGCCCTATGAGCTGGTGCAGTCCTGTTGGAATATCCAATGTCTGTTTTTGAACATTGTTTGAGAAAGAGGTTCCACGTTTGTTAGGACGGTATTTTGGTACATCTCGGCACTGGTTTATACACCTTTTTCACAGAAAATCACCTCAGTTCAGCCTGACTATGAGACTCCAAGCCAAACCATGAGTGACGAAGGATAATGTGCTCGTTGAACCTTCGGAATACGTGTGCTGGCTTCTTCACTGCTGTGGGCATACACCTTAACTTTTTGTTTATTATAACTTTCTTCCATGTTAAAAATTTTTTCATCCGAAAACAAAATTTCGCAGTATTTTTTTCCCGCGTACCGCCGTAACAAAGCACGGGGTCTATCCAGTCTAATATTTTTCAAACGCTCGTTCAAAAATGTCCGGTCTTCTTACAATAAGCTAGTAGTCCTAGGTCTTCATTAATCACTCTTTTGACCGTGGTTCTGCTTAGGCCCATCTGGAGAGATAAGATTATTTGTTTACGAACAGGATTTCGTTGGATTCGCGCCTTCACTGCTTTGATGATCGCGGGTGCCCTAACTGTACGAGGTCGGCCGGTCCTCTTACGATCTTCAAAGCTTGAATCTTCAGTGAATTGTTCAATAATGCGATAAACAAATTGTAGAGTTATTTTAAATTTTTGTAGAATATTGAAAATTTTCAGTGCCTAGAAGACTGCAATGAAGTGGACGATATGAATGAATGACAAGCTCGTGGAAACTGTCTATGCGGTCGGAGCTAAGTTCTGCAAGACCCGCCGCAGAAGAACACAAAAACTCTCCGATCACACTCTTAATCTCATGGCTGTTAGACGGGAGATGAAGCTACATTCTTAAACAGACTTGACAGCATACAGGCATCTGAACAGACAGATCTCCAAATGCATGCATGGGACTTACGCAACTTCAATACAGCTCGTATTGAAGAAGCGATCGAGCGGAACCAAGGCTCCATAGTCTTTGCCAGAGATCTGTCTGCCAGAAAAAGCCAACTGTCAAAGTTTTCGTAAGTTCACCGGTACTTGAAGTCCTTCAGAAGCTCTTTGATTCCGTCCTCCATGGTGGCATTACACCGGAGGCGTGGAGCAGAAGTGCGGTGGTCTTGTTCTTCAAGCAAGGTGACAACGCTCTCTTGAAGAACTACAGACCGATTTCCCTTCTGAGCCGCGTCTACGTGCTGTTTTCGAGAGTCATTACGAATCGTCTCGCGCGCAGACTTGACGACTTCCAGCCTCCCGAACAAGCCGGTTTCCGGAAGGGCTTTAGCACCATAGACCACATACATACCCTTCGGCAAATTGTACAGAAGTCCGAAGAGTACAATTTGCCACTATGTATGGCGTATGTGGACTATGAGAAAGCCTTTGATTCCGTCGAAATTTGGGCGGTGCTGCAGTCCCTTCAGCGGTGCCAAGTTGACTGTCGGTATATCGAAGTGTTGAAGTGCTTGTACAGTAGGGCTACGATGGCTATCTGAGTACAGAATCAGAGTACGAAACCTATCCAATTGCAGAGAGGTGTAAGACAGGGTGACGTCATATCCCCGAAACTCTTCACCGCTGCATTGGAAGACGTTTTCAAGCTTCTGGACTGGAAAGGATACGGTATCAACATCAATTGCGAGTACATCACTCACCTTCGATTTGCCGACGATATAGTCCTTATGGCAGAATCGCTGGGTGACCTAAGCACTATGCTCAATGACCTCGATAGTGTTTCCCAACGGATAGGTCTTAAGATGAACATGGACAAAACAAAGATCATGTTCAATGTCCATGTCACACCTATGCCGGTAGTTGTTGGGAGCACTAAGCTCGAAGTTGTTGACGAGTATGTTTACCTGGGACAAATAGTCCGACTAGGTAAGTCCAACTTCGACCGAGAGGTCAATCGACGGATTCAACTCGGCTGGGCAGCGTTCGGGAAGCTACGACACATCTTCTCATTAGACATACCTCAAAACCTGAAAACGAAATTGTACAACCAGTGCGTGTTGCCAGTGATGACTTACGGAACTGAGACGTGGTCCTTCACTGCTGGCCGTATGAGGAAGCTCAAGGTCGCTCAGCGAGCTATGGAGAGGGCTATGCTCGGAGTTTCTCTGCGTGATAAACTTAGGAATGAGGATATCCGCAGTAGAACCAGAGTAACCGACATAGCCCAACGGATTAGTAAGCTGAAGTGGCAGTGGGCCGGCCATATAGCTCGAAGAACCGACAACCGATGGGGAAGATAGGTTCTCGAGTGGCAGCCTCGTACCGGTAGGCGAAGTGTAGGGCGTCCCCCCACGAGATGGAGTGACGACCTGGTAAGACATGCAGGAAGTCGATGGATGCAGGTGGCTCAGGACCGTGCTTTGTGGCATTCTTTGGGGGAGGTCTATGTTCAGCAGTGGACTTGTGAAGGGCTGTAATGATGATGATGATGATTGAAAATCTCTTTTGGCGCGTAACCACAGCGGTGCAACGCGATAACTGCTAGATCTATCTTCTTTCTTCGACCACTCCATTTTTGAAAATGAATGTCTTTTTTATTTTCGGCAAGCACAAACATTATATTTTTAAAATTGGTGAAATTCATCTAGCCAGTATTCAAATATTTTAAATAATAAGGTTTAGACAGAACTTATGACCCGACTAAGTATATACATAAACACACAGTCCGATACGAAAGGGGCACGTGGGCGATAGACAGTTTCTTTGGACGTGTGGCAGTATTGCCACCCGATGGTTGCCCGCACCGCATAAGCTTTCCATTTTATATTATGTGGGGTATTTTTTTTATTTTATATCATTATTTTCATTAAAGCCCAATACAGCAAAAGCTGCTGCAAGGCTCTACCACAATTAACGGTGGTAGAGCCTTGCAGCAGCTTTCGCTGTTGCACGTATGGGCCGGCTCTAGCCGGGTTAGTACCACGACCTCACAGAATACCGGCGTGAAGTGGAAGCTCTGCTTCCGCGTTTCGTCTGGTGAGTGCAGGTGACCGGATGCCCAATTCCCCCCCCCCCCCCCCCCCCCATCAACATGGTAGCGGAATTACGTCAAAAACTACCCCAGGAGGGTACCAGTACCCCTGGAGAATCCCTCGCTGAGCATCCACGACCATGCTATTCCACTCCTGAGCGTGGGTGCTCAGGCTGCCCCGCGTATTCTGGGGGGGGCAAAATTCCGCTCAACACAATAACTGCTCGGGGCAAACTGAGCAACAAGACCAAGGCGACCCCTGCCACGCTATCCGTGAATTTCTGCAACATCAGGGGACTTCACTCGAACCTAAACGCCGTCCACTACCATCTTGAGACGGCGAAGCCGGCCTTGCTCTTTCTGACCGAGACGCAGGTGTCCTCTCCGGCTGATACTTCGTATTTCTCCTACCCGGGGTACAAATTGGAGCACTCCTTTGTGCCTCGGGCTGGAGTTTGCGTGTATGTCAGAGAGGACATCTGTTCTCGACGCCTCGGCAGTCTTGAAGGTTCGGACCTGTCCATCCTTTGGCTACGCGTAGACAGCGACGACCATCCGCGCGTCTACGTGTGCCTCTATAGGTCCCATAGCGGTAATGCCGAAACAGACCACGTCCAAATGGCTACAGATTCCTTGCTACAACAGGTCCCATCCGCAGAGATCGTGATCCTTGGCGATTTTAACGCCCACCACGCCGAATGGCTTGGTTCACGTTTAACCGATCATGCGGGGAGATCTGTTTATGACTTTGCCTTGGCATATGGTCTGACACAACTGGTTACATCGCCTACGCGGATTCCAGATGTTGAGGATCATACACCTTCCCTGTTGGACCTTCTGCTGACCTCTCATCCGGACGGATATCAGGTTTCCGTCGATGCCCCTCTTGGCTCTTCGGACCATTGTCTGATCCGGAGTGTGGTGCCACTCACGCTCCCCTCGCGGTTGCGTTCTGCAGGTTGCCGCCGTGTTTGGCATTACAGGTCGGCGGATTGGGACGGAATGCGGTCTTTCTTTGCTTCCTACCCATGGGGGCGGGTTTGCTTCTCGCCGGATGATCCCAGCGCTGTTGCTGACTCTGTCACTGATGTAGTGCTACAGGGAATGGAACTATTTATTCCATCATCTGTGGTACCCATCGGAGGCAGATCTCAGCCTTGGTTTGGTCGCTCCTGTAAGACTGCATTACGCAGTAAGCAGGAGTGTTATCAAGCCTGGGCTGCGGCTTCGGTGACTCGGGATGTAAACACCAGCACACTCAAAAAGAAGTATAACTTCGCCTCCAGGTCCTTCAAAAGAGTTATTGCCAAGGCAAAGTCAGAGCACATAGGCAGAATTGGCGAGAAACTAGTTCGCCTTCCTTCGGGAACCCGTGCATTCTGGTCTCTCGCCAAGGCTGTCCAAGGGAATTTCTGTAAGCCATCACTACCATCTCTGCACAGGGAGGACGACTCACTGGCCCACGACGCAAAAGAGAAGGCCGACCTTTTAGGCTCCCTTTTTGCGTCCAACTCGACTGTTGATGACGGGGGGAACACACCGCCGACCATCCCGCGGTGTGAGTGCTCCATGCCGGATGTGCGATTCTCACAGCGCTCGGTTCGCAGAGCACTCCTCTCCCTTGACATCCACAAGTCGAGTGGGCCTGACGGAATCCCCCCAATTGTGCTGAGGACGTGTGCTCCGGAGTTGGCACCGGTTCTAACGCGTCTTTTCCGGTACTCTTACTCCCTAGGCGTAGTCCCGAAATCATGGAAGACAGCTTTTGTCCACCCGATCCCTAAAAAAGGCGACCGCTCAGATCCGTCCAACTACAGGCCTATCGCCATCACCCTCTTGTTCTCCAAAATAATGGAATCCGTTGTAAACTGCCACCTCATGCGGTACCTTGAGGATCACCAGCTGATTAGTGACCGCCAGTACGGTTTTCGTCGGGGTCGATCAGCTGGTGATCTTCTGGTCTACTTAACTCATAGATGGGCGTTGGCAGTAGAGTCCAAGGGGGAGGCATTGGCCGTTAGTTTGGACATTGCGAAGGCCTTCGATCGGGTTTGGCACAAAGCGCTTCTTTCGAAGCTCCCTTCCTATGGGCTTCCCGGGAAATTATGCAATTGGATCACCAGCTTTCTTGCAGATCGGAGCATCAAGGTCGTTGTAGACGGTGCATGCTCCGACTACAAGCCTATTAACGCTGGTGTTCCACAAGGCTGCGTGCTATCACCAACGCTGTTTCTTCTGCATATCAATGATATGTTGCAAGCTGGTAGCATTCATTGCTATGCAGATGACAGCACTGGTGATGCTCTATACACCGGCCGTGCCAATATTTCTCGGGAAAACGTCACCGAGTACCGGAACAAACTTGTGTCTGAAGTCGAGTCTTTGCTGGACAAAGTCTCGGATTGGGGGCGACTAAATCTAGTCCAGTTTAATCCTCAGAAGACACAAGTTTGCGCGTTTACCGCTAAAAAGAACCCCTTTGTCGTATCTCCTCAGTTTCAAGGTACTCCCCTTGTTGCCTCAGCCAGTATCGGAATCCTCGGCGTCGACATATCGAGTAGCGTGCAGTTTCGTGGTCACTTGGAAGAGAAGGCCAAATTGGCCTCTAAAAAGCTTGGCGTGCTCAGCAGAGCGGGACAGTATTTCATGCCGGCTCAACGCCTGCAACTTTACAAGGCGCAGGTTCGGCCTCACATGGAATACTGTTCCCATCTCTGGGCTGGGGCTCCCCAGTGCCAGCTTCTTCCACTTGACCGCATCCAGCGCAGAGCGGCTCGAATCGTCGACGACCGAGTCCTTTCCGATCGGCTCGACTCATTGGCACTGCGAAGAGATGTTGCATCTCTTAGCATTTTCTTTCGCATTTACCATGGGGAGTGCTCTGAGGAATTGTTCGGATTAATCCCAGCTGCCAAATTTCACGAACGCACATCGCGGCAGAACTCCCGATACCATCCACACCATCTGGATGATTGGCGGTCCACCACTGTGCGATTTAGAAGATGTTTTCTTCCTCGCACAACTTCCTTGTGGAATAGTTTACCACCAGCGATTTTTCCGGACCGATACGACTTAGGGACCATCAAGAAAAGAGCCTACTCCTTTTTAAAAGGCCGGCAACGCATCTGCAATTCCCCTGGTGTTGCGGTTGTTCATGGGCGGCGGTAGTCACTTACCATCAGGTGAGCCGCATGCTCGTTTGCCCCCTCTCCTATAAAAAAAAAAAAAAAAAATACACGTCAACTGCTGAACCTATGTGGAGGAGGCATATGCCTCCCCTAAGAAAGGCGGCCATAACTAGAACTTGTTAAAAAGGGTGTCTACCTAAGTAGTGACATCTATATTAAAAACTTTTAGTCAGCGTGTTTTAACTTTAATATATATATATATATATATTAATTTTTTCTATATTTTTGTTGACAATTTATAGACCATAAAAAAAGTTTCAGGCCCTTTCGGGGTTGTACTTTACCGAGGAACATACATGCTCGTCGGTTAAGTATACCTTAAATTTAGCCCATTTTCAAATATTGCCAATTTGATTGATAAACTTCCGTCTACGGTTTTTTGTCGAATCTGTCACATACTTCTGCAGCATGAATTTGCTTTGTGACTCTTTCGGTCTCTGATCACGACATATTCTTGCAAACCACACTTTTCTTTAATCACACAATTTCACGGACTTATAAACAATGTTGTTTTCAGAAATACAATATGTCCAATGTTATGATTGAAAAACGGAACGACGCTTATTACCTGGAAGTACCAGGACTGGCCGAAAAAAGACCATCTTTACTGCGAGGTAAGAATTTTTCCTTGTGCAATGAATTATATTCTCCATTCTCAAACAAGGAACATAGTTATGGAGTTTTAGGTGTAGGGGGCGTTCATTAATTACGTGAGGCAATTTCGGCCTCCCCTTACCCCTGGTGAAATGACGAAAATGAGAATTTACATAATTGCGTATTTTTAGTGTAAATATGTTAATCTGTGCTTGATTGCGTTGGGTATATTAAAAAAAGAAACATAACTTGCTTAATTATTTTAATATAATCTGTGGAATTCGCATAACCGCGATAAATATTATTGTTTAGGATTAACCCTTTCACTGTCCCGTGTACTACATATTGTCTTACTATAATATTGTGTCTGAAAATCGGACAGTGAAAGTGTTAAGCCGAAAATGCACCTCCTTTCATCGCATAGTATAGGACTTTGTATGACACGACTAACGAAACTGGAATTTTGACATAGATAAATTCATGCCTTTACCTTGAATTTGCTTGTTCAAAGACACGATTTTACATAGATATGTATATACTAAATCTATGCGATTGTATAATTTTGACTCGATTATAAGTATTTGCGAAAACCTCTCTAAAAAATCACTATAGTTGAAAATACAACGAAATTACTTTATAATCTATATGCTTGGGAATCACTCAAATACATTTATAACATCAATATTCGTAATTTACTTGCTCATTATTTTGATTACTTAAATTAATAATTTTTTTAAATATTTTAAGATTCTAAGCGATTTCTTAGCTGTCTTAACCGTCGCGGGCGCTACTCAATTTTAGACGTTTTTTAAGTTTTTATAAAAATTATGTACTTGGGTCAGTCCGGCAATAGCCCGCTTCAACGGTTTTCGATGTGTGTGTTAAGCCCATATTTTACCTTATTTAATCGAAATTTTACTTTTTTTTATACTATCGAAATTTTACTTTTTTTTATACTATCGAAATTTTACTCTGTTTCTTGCGGAAAAAAATACGTGATATTTGCCGAGACCCTACCCTACCACTTATACCCTCCCTAAACACCTCGCTTAATTAATGGACGCTCCCTATACACTTTCGTGATTAAAATTTGCCAGTTACTAGAGGGGTAAGGTTTTTTAACATTAAAAATATTTCGTCATTAAAATATTTATCAAATATTAATCTAAAGTTGTTAGTTTGGGGGATAAAATTCAAAGTAAAAGAAAACTTTTTTGGGATCATAGTTTTATTTCGTTATTTTCAATGTGTGTATCTCATTATTTTTCTAAAAATAGTTTTTAATTTGTTGTCTCATCATATCTCGCATAGTAATTACTTTTTAAAAACTTTTCACATACATTACACACACTCATACACACGCACATTATCGGAAATCATATTTACTTTACCCTTCTTACAATGATATATAACTGTTGTTGAAATTATTGAATAAACTATTGTGTAATTGTTTCAGGTGACAGAGTGTATGTTAAGCCACTTGAAAACACTAAGATTATATTCGAGAGCACTGTAAAAGACATTGAAGATAGTCATATTCAATTAGAAAACTTTGACGAAACGTAAGTTGAATTATATGTCTCATGCATCATTTATTTATTTATTTTAAAACAGTGTACATGCTGGCTTACAGTATGCCCAAAACGTCAGCATGCTAATTTACAAATTACACTTTTAAATAATAAGTAATTGATTAAGATACATGTCCAATTAAAAAAAATAAAATAAAAAATAGATGTCAAATAGATAAAAAAATAGATGCCAAATAGAAGATTATACTATGTCAAATAGAGTAAACAAAATATCATTTTCAAATTAACTAAGCTAAGATTAAATTAATATATTACAATATGTCAAAATTGAATGTCAAAAATAGAAGGGCCTTATTACATAGTTGCCTAAAGCTATCAGCAAATAAGTCAGTCTCGTAATCATGTGCGAGCATATCTCCAATAAGCCGTATAGCGCGAGTAGTGGGCGCGTGAGCGCCGCACCTGGTCCGCGCCGGCGGCCGCCACAGAAGACGCGGCCGCCGCCGCGGTGCCACCGTCCCCTCACTATCATAAGCCCAGCCGCTTCGGAGCCAATAACCCCACTCTGCTTAATATCGTCGGGCTATCTATTTTATTATGGATGATTGCTAGGTAGAATGTTATCAATTGCATAGCCCGCCTAAGTTTGAGAGTGTCCAAACCCACCATACCAATAACAAATAAGGACGGATATAGATAGGGGTAATAACCGTAATTCCGCTTATATAGCCATCGTGCAAATTTGCGCTGTATTCTCTCTATCATCAAAATATATTTCTCCTCATAGGGATTCCATACAATGGCACCGTATTCAAGCTTACTACGAACATATGCATTGTAAAGTACCAAAGCGACCCCTATTCCGTCGAACTGTGAAGAAGTGCGAATAATGAAGCCAAGCATTTTACTGGCCTTTTTACATACAGAAATCACATGGTTATGAAAGTCAAGTTTAGCATCTAATAATAATCTTAAGTCACGTATTTCGCTTACCCTTTCTAAGGGCGTGTCAGATAAATTATAGTCTTCATTTAGTGGACAGCGTTTACGTCATTTAGTGGACAGCGTTTACGAATCACGAATTACGAATCATCTCATACTGCTGTATATAATTTCATTGTAGTTAAATAATTTCCCCCACAGAAATAAAAGAAAGCTTGTGTTCCGCAGTGGGAGATATAAAGCCTGTAACTTTAGTTCTAAAATAAAACTAATAACTATTTTTAATATAAAAAATAACTTTCAGTAACAGAAGTAGATTTTGATGCCTACTACAGTTCGAAATAAACTTAATTTCAACTAATAAACTTAAGATAGTTTTGTGTTTTTTTTTTCTTTTTTTTTATAGGATATAGGGTGACAAACGAGCACACAGTCCACCTGATGGTACGTGGTTGCTGTAGCCCATAGACATCTACATCTATCCTCAATAAAGACTCAAGATGCAGATGTGTTGTCACCCGTGAGGACTAAGATGGAATGCCTCTTTGCCAGTAAAAAGGGTCTCCGGTTCTCTACACTCACCATACGAAACACAGCAGCGTTAAGCTGCTATTTTACGCCGGTTTTCTGTGAGAGCGTGGTCCTTCCCCGGTCGAGCCGACCCATTCGTACTACAACTATACTACTAATATAGTTGCAGCATGGCTCTACCACGTAAAATTTGATTATGAATAACACATATGTGCTGTTTCACCATGTTTATTCAAATTACTACTCCATAGAAATTTAAAACATTATTTTCCCTGTTGTAAATTAACTTGCTTTTGTCAAAGTGTCCTTCAATTATTTAAATTGGAAAGTTTAAATGAACAACTATTTTTCGTATTTGTTCCAGATTTCATATGTACTACCATGCCGAAGCTCTTTTTGATGTACGCTTCATATGTTCTTGCGTACCAGCCGAGCGTATGCATGAAGCGGTTAACCGAATTTTTATATCCAAACAGGAATCCCGAGTATTTCCAGTGGCCCCCAAACGAAAAGTGAATGTTAAACCTATTAATAAGTGAGTGCATTTTAAATTACCAATAGTTCGAATAAAACTTATTTTACGCGATAATATCGAATTTTTCAACTGACTTCAAAAAAAGGAGGAGGTTCTCATTCCGACTGTATTTTTTTATGTGTTTTACCTCAGAACTTTTTCCTAGGATACCGATTTCTTGATTCGATTGTTGATTCTTTATTTGAAAGCTGGTGCTATGGTAAATATAAGAAACCATAATGTGCAAATGTACACTTCGTTTCTTCGATATTTTTTTCTATCTCTCTCCCTTTAATATCATTTTATTGATGAATATGAACTTTTTCACTTTCAATCTTTTAGGGCATTCAAAAGTCCTCTGCTGAACATAGGACTCCATTGACTTCCTGCAAGTGTTATCAGGTTGTCAGTCAATCTAGTGGGGGGCCGCCCTATACTTCGCTTACCAGCATGAAACTGCTGATATGTGAGGGTTAAAGTATTTCGTAAGCAAAGTATCTATGATTTTAGACTTGGTGGCTGGTGGGATGCCCTCTCATCATGTCTTCCGTGCCAGTCGTGGGGGAGTCGCGGGAGAATAGATGTGTCAGTGTATGGCAATGCGCCATCCGCCATATCCTCCTCGATTCTGGTGGACCGTTACCGCTGATACGGTGGTGGTGAGTCCGCTGGGAGACAGGAGTGTCGATATTGTAAAGCACTGCCATCCTTACGGGTCGGGAAGTCGGGTCCTGTTCCGATCCTTCGCCCAGGGTGTCTATTTCAAGAAGACGCCACGTGCCCGTGTGGCGCCAAGACCCACAATAAAGCTGATATAGCCAACGCCGACCACGATCAGCGCTATATAGTGATGTACCTACATAATGAAATAGTGACTTATAAAACCAACATGTGAGATTAAAGTTAAGCACTGGCTTACTAAGAAAAAAATGGCGGAGGAGTTCCTGTCTGAATAGTATAAAGAGGCAGTATAATAACAGACTGTGAACCATTCCATTTTAGCCCTCAGAGGTGACAACGCATCTGTGTCTTTGTTTGAAGTTGGCTGTAGGTGTCCATAAACGTCCCCCCTAACGGGTTTCCGGCTCGTCTTGACCGGGAGAGGGGGGGTCCTCCACGGTGAACTAAACGCCAGTTTGTCTGGTGCTTTCGAATGCTCGATTTTCCTGGGTCATGGCTTCCATGGGTTTGAATTAGGTGATGGATTCGGTGCGAGTCTGATATAACCCGTACTAGTCGCCGCGAGGCGCCTATGAATAGATATTCCCCATGAAAACAAAACAGAACCTAGACAGCACTTTATCGCCTTTGAAAACCAAGTTAAATAAGAGACATTTATATGTAAATTCCTACCAAAGAAATACAAAAAAGGCAAGCAAGAAACAGGCTTGCAGTTGTGGTGCTGTAATAATAATTTTAGAAGTTTTATTTACTTTATTCATACTTATACAACATCTAACGTAATTAACGCACATCCTCAGACACTCCACTTAGTATATTATGTTATAATCATAATACATACACTGACTTCTTAGTTAAACATGTTTATGCATTGATTATTTATTAAATTAATTATACTAATTCCGGAAGAATATTGTAGTCACAGTACAAATCCACGAACGTACACAGTCGCACACGTAGGTATACTTCATTTGAGGGTCTTGCTAGCCTAGTAGGTATTCGCTTGCGTTCGAGACGAGTTAACGCCGCCGCCGCTTGACACAACTTAAGTCTAGTAAACATTTGATGGCATCTTTCCGTCACACTTTTCGGGCTTTGGACTGCCGACTCTGAATAATTTTGTTTATTGATTATGATACAATGTCAATAGGCAATATTCGTTACAAAATGTTATGAATTTGCATAACATTTTAATTTTAATTGTAAATAATAATGAACTGCTAAAAATAAGAGGCGATACGACAACATAATTCAAAGACGGCGTGTTTAAAAGATGTGAATCAAGATTACAATAGTTTAAATAATCAAATATTTAAGTTACAATGTTGTATTTTAATACACTTTCAAAATGTCTACCACCTTGTTCGATATATTTTAATGACCGTTTTCTTAATTAATATTTTAATATTGAAAGCAATTCAGTATCATTTTTCACTATTCCAAAAGCGTTCACTATCCTATTTTTAGGTCCTCGGCACTTGTTGTTTCACTAAAATAAACTAATGATTTAATACGTCCTCACAAAAAAAAAGTTAAGAGGCCTCAAATCAGCTGATCTGAAACGTCAATGGACAGGGCTGCCGCGACCGATTCTGATACCGATCTGTATTTTGTAAAGACTAACTTGTTTGAATTAAGGTTAATTTTTCTTTATCTTTTTTCTTTATTTCAGTATTAAATGACGGAATTTGTATTAATACAAATAAAACTGCACTTTTAAATCTTATTGCCTTGAGTTACGGTCCATTTCAGTTTGTTTTGACTGTACAGGTTTAGTGTGACTGTAATTTACATAGTTTCAATTATTTTTGGGATAAAAAAATATCTATATTAAAAATGATAGAAATCAATTCAGTAACCGATTCTGAACAAACTACTTTCAGGATGTGCGTTAATTATGTTGTGTGGTGTATATCGTCGTTGTGCTTGCTACGTCAAAAAGTAACTTTTCTGAAGAAACAGTAACCTTATCTGATTTTGTAAAAATCATTTGTATCGGTTAACTAACCATAGAAATACAAATATTAGAAACATTATAGTCCAATTCATTCAAACAGTCAAATTGAAATCTTCCTTTTGTAAAGTCAAAAAATCTTAGAACTTGTTAAGTATTATTATAACTATATTGCTTTTAGGTTTTACAATCCGCTGATTGTAGACAATGAAGAGCAAAGATCAGCAGTTGAGCATATAGTTGCTGCATCATCAGCAAAAGCTCCATACATTGTCTTTGGACCACCTGGCACCGGAAAAACTATAACTATTGTCGAAGCAATAATACAAGTAAGAGAACGTTTTATATTTTAATAGCATTTCTTCATAAATTAAATAAATCTTAGAGCATTTAACTGTATGGTTATAGTAATCGTAGTCTGGTTATAGTATTCTCTTCCAAAATTCCCGATTGAAATCGGAAAAACCATGGCGAAGTCGCAATCACACAGCATTCCATCCCACAGTAATTATATTTAAATTCTTCAATTTAAATTTCATCCTCTATTTTGCCACTTTTGATGGTGGTATTTTTTTCTCCAAATTTATGTGGGCTCACCCCTAAAGTATCTATTAGTACCTATCTAATAAAAAAAGACTAATCAAAAAAGAATAATCAAAATTGGTTTACAGTTAAGGAAGATATCGCGCAACATACATACAAATAAATAATAACATACAGTCGAATTGTAGGCCTCTTCCTTTTTTGCAGTCTGCTAAAAAAACTAAGCAACCGAAAAAGAAATTCTTAAATGACAGATCGACTGCGATCGACCGTGTGTGTTTTTATTATGATGTTATTTTTATAGTGCGTGTTTTTAGTAATAGGAATCATTTATCTGTTCGCATTTGTCAAAGAAAGATGCCCATTTTTCTCCTGACTATGTATAGAAATAAAATAAATCTTAAACTTCAGGTAATTAAATTGTAAATTAAACACGCTTATCCCAATGTTAAAAGAAACGCACGAGAAAAATATTTTTTAATATTTATTTAAACTGATTCTACGTCAAGGGTAAACTTTAGGTGAATGGTATTACCACCATATTTTGAACGCATCTCAACTACCCTTTTTCTAGGACGTTCCATTTTACACACTGCTATTTGACTTAATTGACCTCTGTTTCTGAATTTTAAACATTATTTTATGTTTTATTTAATCAGTAAGTACTTCTTTATTACTCTTTGTATAGTACAGATTAATTAAAAATAACATAATTATTAAATTAATTAATCAATCAGTATGTCATTGAGTGAAACACGCACAGGTGAAACGGATTTTTTTGACATTTACCAGTTCTACGATTGGCATCGGCGCAGTCCTTCGTTGTTGTCAAAAAGAATATAATCACTTGTTGCGTTTGCGTCTCGTTGTGTATTGTGCCATTTTGTGTTTTCTGCCGACTTCCAAAAAGGAGATGGTACTCAATTCGACTGTATGTTTTTTTTATGTGTGTTTCCTCAACTTTTTACTGGTGTGGTCCTATATGAATTTGATCAAGGTCAGACTAATAGTTTTTGAGTTATTTTTAATAACTTACATTGAAGTTGGCTGTACAAAATTTTTAATTTTAAATTATTCATGGATCATATAGAATAGATATATGTAGGGATACACAAGATTTTTCTCAGTATAATCTCATAGGAAGTGGTAATAGAACATTAATAAGAGATTCCAGTCCATGCACATTTCGCCAAAAAAGTTTCAAAAAAACCTTTTTTTCCTTTATTACCTATTTGGTAACGGCAAATCCTAACCTAAAGAGTAACATAAATATTTTTGGGCTTCGTAGCGTTTAAATCGTAAAAATGACTACATGACATTATTTTCTAATCTTACAGGAAGTTTTTCTACTATACCTTATAACTATACATAAACTTTCACTATGAGGTTTTTAAATGTATGAAAAGTGGGCATGGTTCTTTCCGTAGTGTGCTCCATACAGTTAAATGCTCTAAGTTAACTATCTCTCAATAATTTAACTCTTCTTTATTAACGATTTTAACAATTTTAACAGCTTGTAATGCGTAACCCCAAAAACAGAATAATGGTCTGCACTGATTCCAACATGGCTGCTGATCATATTGCTGTAATGCTTTTGAAATATAACAAGACTTTGAATATAAGCAATTTTCTTATACGAGCCAACTCACAAAGCCGTGAATGGTAGGTTGTTTTTTTATTAGTAACTAATTCAAATGTTAATGTGTTTAATGTTATTGTCCATGTGAAACACTTTAAAGTCATTGAACATAGCTCATTCTCCAGCGATTTTTCTATAATAACTATACTTAACTGGGGCTTTCTCATAGGCCACATACATAGGACAAAGTGGCAGATTATATCTCTTCATCTTCTGTACAATTTTCGAAGAGTGTGTGTATGTAGTCTAATAGTATTTAAGCCTTTTTGAAACCGGCTTGTTCGGGAGGGAGGCTAAAAGTCGTAGAGGCTAGAAGAAACCGGCATGCGAGACGACTCTTTATTCGCTTACGTTTGTAATGACTTTCGAAAACACCACATAGACGCGGCTGTAAAGGGAAATCGGTATGTAGTTCTTCAGCAGGGCGTTTTTGCCTTTCTTGAAGAACAAAACCACTGCACTGCTGCTCCAACAAGACAAATATTATGTGTAACTTCCAAGTCATACTTATTACATAGGTTACGTTACGTAAGTTTTGGGGAAATAAAAACTGAAACCCTTAAAAGAGTGAATTACCACTTGTTGCCAGTTATGACATTATTGTGACGTGGTCCTTTACTACTGACTGTATTAGGAAGTTTTCGAATTGTTTAGCAAACTTTCGAACTTCTTGAGATAGTCTTTGCGTGATAAAATCCGTAACGATGACATCCAAATCGGAATCAGAGTAACAGACATAGCCTAACACATCAGTAAGCTGAAGCGGCAATTAACCAGTTACCTGCTCGACGAATCGACTACCGATAGGGAAGGAAGGTTCTAGAATGGCCGTCTGGTACCAGTAACCGCAATGTAGTGTAGGTGCCGTGCTTTGTGGCAATACTTGGGGCTTGGGTTTAGATGTGGACTTGTGGAGGGCTGTAATAATGATCAATGTTATTGTCATGAAATCGGTATAAATTAATGAACTTAGTACACTATTCTTTAAACCAATTATTATTCATTCAGTCACTGGATAAGCGCCATAAACCACATTTAATCAAAGGAATAGTGACTCTGTCCATCATTACTTGATATTTGTGTTATCTCTTCCCTATGTCATAAACAATAATATATATTATGAAGTAATAAATGTATATCTACAAATTATCTTCACAAAATAAACGATTAAACTAAAATTAAGAAAACTAAATTAATTTATTTTTTATGATTTTGGAATAAAATTGTTTAGGGTTATGGTAGTTAGACAAAATATCCTAAATTTTAATTATGTTTTAAACTCCCTCTACTTTACTATCCCATACCATCCAGTGGGGTGTCGTCAGAGGCGACAGGGGGAAACTGAAACAGGAGAGTGGCAGTAGCACAGAACACAATTACTCTATCGAGAGAAGAATGCCAACTTCACACTAAAAAAAGGAAACATGTGTTTATGAGTGTACACTAAAAGCGCCATGGTGGGCGCCCATATAAAACTTTTAGCGGGAATTTCAAACCTTGTATTCTGTAGCTTTTAAACTATGTTTATTTAAAACAAATTTGAGTAATTTTGGCTCGAGCCTCACCAACGTATTGGGTGAATTCCATACATTTGAGAGGTTGCACCAAAAGTACTCGAATAATTGACTTTAGAGGAGTATGTCAGATAAAATAAAACTAAAAATAGGTATAGTTATGTAATTTTATTTTTTGGAAGAGATCGTTTTATACACTATATATTATTATTGATGTTTTATTGCTTTTGCAGATAATATTTCTGCTTTTGCAGATAACATAATATGTTATCGTGAGAGTTATTCTTCACAGAACATTAACGTAAATTTAAATCAGCAAAATTCTCACGGTGAAAGCTCAACTCAGCCCAAATACATGATCTAAAACATAAAATTTGAAATAATATAGTAATAATCGCTACAAATAACGATCAATAAATTCAAAATGCTTAAAAAGACTCACCACAATATTGTCAAAAGTTTTTCATCTTCTATTGTAGGAAACCTGCAGAAAGTGATCAGATGACTTTATGCTGTTTGTTTGCTAAACGCTTAATTTACTTTTCTGATCACATTTCGTGCATAATTTTTTTAAATAATAAATTAATTTATAGTCATTATCTCATAAAGAGTCAACATCTCACAAAAAATCTTTACACACACAATCGCGACGAAATGCCTACAAACGAAAATGAAGTATTCTGAATCGAAAATATATATATAATAAACTGAATTTAAGCAAAAAGCAATAAAAAATATTAAAATCTAAACTTGAATCAATTTCAGACAATATTTTCAATATGAAAGACGTTGACAAACAAAATTTTTTTCTTCTTTTATTTCATGGCTGCTTTTGATATAATTCTGCTTATATTCAATAATTAAATTTTAATCAATTAATAGGTGAATTAATTGTGCAAATCTCAGAGTAATATGTAATAATTATACTCTAATGAGCAACCAAAAAAACACAGAATTAACATTTTCAGTTTCTTCTGATATAATATGTATTTTTGTAACAAATTTTTAAAATGGCAATCTGAAACAACGTGAAAGAAAGAAACAGCGATATCATTTTCACACTTTAATTTTACACGCCCAATCCACACATAGATAAAATTATGATCGTGTGCAAGTTTCTCGGATTTCATACAAAGTTGCATCACCCTGGGCAGTAGCATCTTCCTGACAATAACCCAAAATAATAAAAACCTGCGGTACCAATACGAGTTTTGATTGTCTATAATGATGATTTCAAACTAAAATGTGAAGTATGGAATTTGACATTTGGTTGTAAATTTCCATACTTTAGGTAGTATTGCATTTTATTTCGCATATTTACCATGGAACTCCTTTATTGAAACAGACTAGACTGTGTTTTCTATACTTCAGAAGCACTAAAATTTATACATTCGCAATGTCATTATGTTATTGAAGAATTTACTTGACATAACCAATCAACATTTTAAGCCATCTCCTAAATGATATTTATGTTTGTTATGTTGCAGGACTGTTATGCCTCCAGCACTCGCGCCCGTGTCAAATGGTACTAGCTACGAGACATTCTATTCATTAAGCAACGTACATGTTGCTATGTACAGAATATTCGTTACCACATTACTACATGCGGCAAAGTATGGGTCGTAAGTACAGTTTGTTTATATAATAATCCTACATTTCTTTTGGTAGTACGAGTATAAGTAACTTATTAACTTGTAACCTTTGTATGTTTTTTTTTAATGTGTGTTACCTCATAACATTTTACTGGTGAACCGATTTCGATGATTCTTTTTTTATTTGAAAGCTGGTGTTTCTCATGTGGTCCCATATAAATTGGTCAAATAATTGATCAAGATCTGACCAATAGTTTTTGAGTTATTCTTAATAATTTATATTGAAGTCGGTTGTACGAAATTTTTAATTATTTTATTTGACTTTAAACAACCGCCATAGACGAAATCTGACTGTATTACTATTTATTATTAGATATTTCTGACATTTTCCTTTAATCGCTCTCGTTGACTACGTTCGACAATCATAAGAGTTTTTTAGGAAGTACGCTACTAATTGGGTTGTGGCCTCAACATACACTATATACAATATAAAAACACCCTGTCTGATCCAAAAGTAGCCCCTTTTAGGGCTAGAGGGGCAAATGATATTACCAAAAAATTGCTTGCTTTTACTATAATTTGCTTAATTTTTAAGATTTTTTTTTTCGCCAGCGACGGTATCTTAAGTGACTAATTATGCAGGCTTTTGTGTTTTTTTATCGTTGTTTCTAACGAACGAATAAATGTTGACCTCTAGATATTATCATCCGAAGCGACGGCCGAGGTCCCGCACCGAATGTAGTGCCATCTAAAGGTCACTGCATACGTAACGTGTTTTATTACGGAAGGAGCGGGACGTCAAATTTTAGAAATAGTTTCATAAAAAATGTACGTGAAAAATGCATACGTTACGAATGCATGAACGGGACGAGAAAAATATCGTCGGCGATGATGTTTACCCCGTCCCGCCCCGTGGGCGCCACGTCCCGTCCTTGGTTCCGGTGCGTATGCACAGTCGCTCCGCCAACTCTTCAAATGAAAAATCCATCTTTCACAACACTAGCACGTTAGTTTTGAGTCACTGTCACATTGCGTATGCATTAAACTCCCGTCCGTGTTGACACACAACCACATTCTGTTTCCATCCCGTGTACGTTACTCTGGTTCTCCTGCGGATATCTTCATTTCTAAGTTTATCACGCAGAGAAATCCCGAGCATAGCCCTCTCCATAGCTCGCTGAGCGACCTTGAGCTTCCTCATCCGGCCAGTAGTACAATTTCGTTTTCAGGTTTTGAGGTATGTCTAACGAGAAGATGTGTCGTAGTTTCCCGAACGCTGCCCAGCCGAGTAGGGATGTTCCGATACCATCAAAGTATCGATACCTACTCATATCAGTAGTACTCAAATCATTTTTCTCGATACTATTCATACAAATACTCCTAATGTATCGATACTTACTGATATCGATACTTTTAGATTTTTTTTAATGAAATTAACGTAGCAAATGTTTCAAGCCCCACAACGATCTATTCTGCCCTGCTCCTTTAGATAACATCGCATAGTCCTCCATATGGTCCTGTATGCAGCTACCTTTAGTCTCCCCATATAATTAAATTTTATTACTTGAATGATTGACGATACCTAAAAGGTATAGATAAAAAGGTTAGGTCATGGATCGGACAGGGCTTTTTTAAATTATTAAATAAACAGGAAGACAAGGTGGGTATATCTGTTTAGAAGGGTTAGCTCATTTTATTTACTTAATACAGCCTATCAAACGTCCACTGCTGAACATAGCTCTCCTCCATATATTGTCTCATAGGGCTATTTGTAATATTTGGTTGGAAGTGCTATTTTTTATTATTTTAGTTATTAGGTAGTACGCAGTCCATCTTCAGTTTCATTGCCGATTGCCTTTTACGACACCCACGGGAAGAGCTTTTACATGGTACTTGTCAAGCCATGCGTCAGCTATATTATTATGGTTGTAGCACAAATAGGTCGGCTCGACCATGGTAGGAGCCTTTTTACTGGAAAACGAAGCATCCCTTCTTAGTCCTCAGGGGTGACAACGCATCTCAATTTTGATTCTTAATCGAGGATTGATGTAGATGTCTATGGACCGCAACAACCACTTACCATCAGGTGTGCTGTGTGCTCGTTTGTCACACTCATACTATAAAAAAAAATGATACAGGGTAGTGGATTTTCTTACGCCTCCACTAGACAGCGAGTTCACTACATTATAAGTGTTAACAATTTATGTACACACAAAGTGTTGTTACAAAGTAAAATATAAAGAGAGTTTTTTGTACAAAAGCTCTGCTTATTTTATATTCAAAATTCATCCAGCGGGTGTTAATTATTCAATAACAATTGAATTATTGTATAAATATGTTTTGTTAGGCCAAGAAGCCAGTCAATGTATAAGCTGCAGATGACCCATTTGTTTATCGACGAAGCGGCCCAATCCTCAGAGCCAGCCACTCTCGTGCCAATAACCAATCTTTTATCGCCAAGCGGCTTTCTTGTGCTGGCCGGGGATCCGATGCAGTTGGGTCCTGTGTGTATTTCCAAGGAGGCGAACACGAGAGGATTGGGTATGTTTTATTTTCCACGTTGGTTTTTATAGTGGTCCAGACTTCGCACCATGCGATTTCTTTATTTTCCTATTTTTTTTAACAAAGATTTGATGAGAGGTTGGACCAGGTTGGGCCATGAAGCCATGACCAATGGCCCTTAAGTTTTCAAACATGGTTTGAACTAATGAAAATGTGTTTAAAATGTAATGGCGAATACTTTAAATACACGAATATACACGAAATAGAATGTCTTAAAATTTTTGAATTTAGAATGTTATAGCTTTCGTACAGATTTTTTTTTACCACGAATCTTGGACCGGGTATGATGTATAATTTTATTTGAAAGTGGTGGTAGTGGCATCGAAGAGATTGGTCTCCTCATACTCTCATGTAAGGAAAGTGCTGGTAGGTTATCCCATCCCGGTTCATGGAACCTCCTTCTCCTTGGAAGGTAAGAACCTTCCTTCGGTTTGAGAGCCTTGTGGAACATTTAGGATACGATGGTAGGAGACCCGACAGTATGACTTTGGTCCCTTGGGAGAGAGGTAAAGCCCTAGTGTAGGATATTACGTGCGTAGACACTTTGGCAACTTCTCATCTCAGGGGTACCTCGTTTAGAGTCGGGGCGGCATCAGAGGCGAAGAAGTGGCGTGTTGAGTTGATGAGTTTCTGAGAAATGTATATTTGTACAATTTGCTGTAGAGACTCGGTTCGTGGGGTGTCCGTACGGTTGCCGCTGGTGATAAGATGGCTGGATATTTTCTCCATCAAAGGCTAAGTATAGCCATTCATCAATGAAACATAGCCGGCGTTCTTGACACTAAACCGCGGGAACTGGGCGGTGACTGTATGTTAATTTAAGTTTCAAGTTTTAGTTTTTTTTTCAATTATGATAACAATTTTTGTATAATTTAATATTCGTAAATAAAAAAATGAAAGAGCCCACTCCATTAAAACTGTAACCCCATACTTTAACCCTAATAACGTATATTTTGTAATGAAGGCATCCACGTCCTTTTCTGCCACCAGGGCGGCGCCACTTTACAATGAGGTAAAATATTTGACAGATTTCATAGCGGGGACGATAATTTCTTAGATAAATGTAATATCTAAAGTTTTTTTCTGTATTATTAGTTATATTTTATATTAATTAAATTAGAAATGAATAAACTAAACTATAAATATAACTAAAAGCAGTTTTTATTTAAAAAGAGTTATAAAGTGCAAAAAATTAAAAATCAAACAGCTGACGCATTGTGTTGTGTATTAATATAATACTCTTGGTAATGGTAAACTGTTATTTAAAAATAATTTCTCAATTAACTGACACTGTGTAAAAAAAAACTTTACCTCAGTCACAACTAGCGACATCTGGTGAGTGGAAGATTATTAGCCCTCATTGAATTAGGCAATATATTTATATACGTTTTTGAATGTGGTAGAGCCATGCTGCAGCTATATAATAGTATAGTTGTAGCACGAATGGGTCGGCTCGACCGGGGAAGGACCACGCTCTCACAGAATACCAGCGTAAAATAGCAGCTTAATCCTGCTGTGTTTCGTATGGTGAGTGTAGAGAACCGGAGACCCATTTTACTGGAAAGAGGCATTCTATCTTAGTCCTCACGGCTGACAACGCATCTGCATTTTAATTCACAAACGAAAATAGATACAGATGTCTATGTGCCACAGCAACCACTTACATCAGGTGGACTGTGTGCTCGTTTGTTACCCTATAAAAAAAACGTGTCACATTGTTTGTCCGCAATGAACTCCTAAACTACTGAACTGATTTCAATGAAATTTTGCACACTGTGTGCAGTTTGGTCCAACTTGAGAGATAGGATAGTTTTTATCCCGATAAGTGACCCTCAATATTTTTTTTGCGAATTTAAGGTTTTTTTTTTATTAGACAAAAAGTCGTCGGAAAGAGCAGAACAACGTTCTGCCTAGTCAGCTAGTATATTATAAATGTAAACATTCGATATTTTCGTGTATAACTAAAACATGTTCAAAACAAAAAAGTTACTTGGAAACAATATTTTTCGTTTTTATTTGTTTCCAAAATTACATAATTTTAAATTCATGGATGACTTCTGCAGAGGATCGATATGCTTGCTGCTAAAAACGATTCATTTTGCGATTGAAAACATTTTAATTTAATCAATGATCATTATTTTGCAGGCACGTCCCTAATGGAACGTCTCAGGGTGACCTACGAAACTTTTTATAACGACAATCCGAACTACGTAACCATGCTCGTAAAGAACTTTCGATCCGATCCAGATATACTGGCAATACCGAATGAGCTGTTTTACAACAAAAATTTACAGGTTAGTTATTAAGTGGTAGCGCTTGTTTTAAGTCTAGTTTTTCTTAGTTGTTACCACACTCATGTTTATTTAGCTGCCACAAAGCTGCAGTGAGTTCACTATTATGTACTGGTTTAAAAGTATTTAGAGTAATTTTTGGCCTCATGCATGACAATAACTGCGGCTGCATGTTTTCATGCTGCTATATTTCGGAGCACAGGAGACTTTTTACTGATAACAAGTTGTTAACATCTTAATCCTAACGGGTGATAACGTATTTGAATTTTGATCCTTAATCTAGGAGAGACGTGATTGTTTATGAACTACTACATCTTCTTACTGTACTACTGTGGACTGTGTGCTCTGTGATCGTTTTTCATCCTTAATTGTTATTTTCTACCGACTTCAAACTGGAGCAGGTACTCAATTTGACTGTATGTTTTTTATGTGTGTTACCTCATAACTTTTTTCTGGGTGAACCTATTTCGATGATTCTTTTTTTATTTGAAAGCTGGTGCTTCACATGTGGTCCCATATAAATTTGATAAATTTCTGACCAATAGTTTTGAGTTATTCTTAATAATTTATATTGAAGTCGGTTGTACAAAAATTTTAATTATTTAGTTTTAGATTCCTTAATAGAATATAGAACATCAAGGTGGGTGGACTGCATTTGTCACTATTTCTGCTTATCATGTGCGCGGAAAGAGGCCACTTTTAGTGTAGATTGCTTCCATAGTAGAAAGGATTTTCCGTCTCGCACATTTGATACTCCATATTGATTTACGAAAACAAATCTATCATAGGGCACACCGTTGTAACCATTACCGTTACAGCCTACTAAAGCCCAATGCTGAACATAGACCTCCCCCATATATAGCCTCATAGGGAGGATGTTTGCTATAGTTGCCACGCTTGACAGGCGGGTTGGTAACCGCAGTTTTATTTTATTTTTAGTCGTTTTTAGAATACGCTACTGTCCTCGGATCTCCTGATTTGTTTCCCTCTGTCGCCTCTTATTTGCCTTCTTATATACTTACGGTTTGATATGTATAGTGGATATTCTTACACCGCCACTACACGGTTTAGAGGGCACACAATCTGAACCTTTTTCTACGTTGCTAGCCACTAAATGATACAGGGGCGATCGTTTCCCTCACGTCGCCATCACACAGATGTCATTCTCATGTTATAAAAAGATACTTAGTTTTTATTAATTTTACATTAGAATAACAACTTATAAGTGGCACATCTGGGCACAAGAACTCATTACCAAAAGGTTAACGAACCACCCCATGCTGCTTCATTGGAAATCATCAAAAATTACAGAGATGACGATGTTGCGACAGATATATGGGCAATATGTGGGTAGTTTGTTTGATAGCTCCTTCTATGATCGGTGTCGACAAACCCAATCCATCTTATTATAAAAAGTAATATATAATTAATGAGAGTCTTATACTAAAGTCTGTTTCAATAAAGAAGTCTCGAGGGAAATGTGCTAACTAAAATCTAACGTATGGAATGTATAGCACTACGCCTAAGGGACTTCTTTCGTGACAAAGACTCTTCTTCAATCCCGAGATTATCAATAATGCACGCAAGACCAAATAATAAATTTATTCGGTGTTTGTAAGTCAGTCCCAGAGTTTTTATAAAACAAATATTTTTTTACTGCATAGCCAACAAAACAAAAAAAAGGAATGTTAACTAACTTTACAGGAGGCTTAGATAAATTTACTTGGGTAGTTTCATCGTTATCATTACAGACAATCAAAAATCCACTGCTGTATGTACGAGTATATATAGACCCCTATTAACTACTTCTTTCGTGACAAAGTGACTCTTAATTGACTGACTCTTAATTTAAGGTTATCATTAACCATGTTTTGTGATAAGGTTGTATGTGATCAGTCGAAAAAAAAAACAGATGACAGATTCTATTCTATTCTTCTTTTATTCTGTATCCTATCCTATAATACGCTGATAGAATTGGAAATAGACAGTATGAGGAGCAAACCGGTTTCCATACTGTATATTTCCAGTATCTTCAGATTTGGTTAATGCCAAGATTATGGGACCGCTGCATAAATGGGCAATGTACAATTTTACAAGGATTGATTTTATTAGGCGTTTTCAAATGTGACTAATTTTAGCTTTCCAATAATAAGTTTAACTGTGGAATTTACCTTAACCTATGTACTCATGTAAGTGACATGCATTTGTCTTAATGAGATATAATAAAGATCTTTAAACCTAACTTAACTACGATATAATCAATATCCGATGGTATATTTTACGGGAACTTGCCATTGTGCTATATGTTGGCCTTTAAGCCTTTATTACATTTTATTTATAGCCACTGGCGCCACCGGATCCACTGAGCCGAACGAAAATCTTAAATGTAGCTGGTGGTGAGCGTGCTATTGTATTTCATGCGGTAAATTCAAGGGAGCAGAGGATGGGGAATGCCCCAAGGTAAGATAATTTTAGCCACTTTAAAAAAGAGCTTTATAATTCGATTGTATGTTTTTTTTGTATGTATTTTACGCGATATCTACATCATTTGTGAACCGATTTTGAATTTTTTTTTATAAAATTGTACTTCAGGGTTGGTCTCATATAAAATTATGAGATCAACCGTGAGAAAATATCCCTATGTGATAGGATGGGGGTTTAAATGTAACTATATATTTATACAACATTGAGATTGTGATATCTATAGCATCCACGATTTTTTCTGCCACCAGGGCGGCTCCACTTAAAATGAGGTGTAATTTTGACAGATTTCATAGCAGGGAAGTTAATTTGTTCGACACATGTAAAGGTTAATATTTCTTTCTGCACTATTGGATAAATTCTATATTAATTAGATTAAAACAAATAAACCAAACCAAATACCCATATTCATAAAAGTAGAAAAAATTATAAATAGAATTAAAAAAGTGCAAAAAATTGAGTAAACCACTGAGGCATTGTTTCGTGTATTAATATTATACTCTAGAAACTGATAAACTTTTATTTAAAACTAACTTCTCAATTAAATGACATTATGTAAGAAAAAAACTTCAAGAAAAGAGCTTACTCTATGCTATGTTGCAGTTGTTCATGGGCGGCGGTAGTCACTTACCATCAAGTGAACCGTATGCTTGTTTGCCGCATCTTCTAAAAAAAACACATTCTCAAGTCGGGGCTTAAACTGTTTCATACATGTTTTAGCAAGTCCGTGGACTGCAGTAGACATTTACCATCAGGTGTACTGCATGTTCGTTTATCACATAAATTTTATTTAAAATATATCGTGTTGAGGCTACCGCTACCAGTAACGGGCTTAAAATTAATTCTTGTATGCCGAATCTAAATTCCGTTGGTCGTTATAGTGCCCATCAGTCGTAATGGGAAACAGCATTATCGGTGCGAGTCTTGGATTTACGCTTAGTACCCCGCCTGCCTAGCGTAATTGGTGCCTTCATGAAAATTCTGTATATCCAGATATGCCAAAAAACTATTGATAATAAAATTATTTATTTATTTAAATGGTTATAGCGCTCTATGTATGATGCAACAAAACAATTTTCACCCACGGATTGAAATATATTACCAGAAAGTAGGATTTAAATCTTATTATACTTATAGCTTCTTCAATGACAAGGAGTTGGATGTCCTGAAAAAATATATCAAAGCACTGATAGAGCAACACCAGGTTTCTCCAAAGGATATAGGAATTATTGCACCATATATAAGACAGGTGAGTTTCATTTCTTCATTTTTTATTATTAAACATATTTCGCACACTTTTGAACATACATCTATGCAATTTTGATCTAGAAATTCCGGTCCGTAGTTTTCCGTCAGATTGTATCTGCTGACATGGTAAAATCATCGGACTATTATTGGCTTTCGACCCATATTTCGTATTCTTAGGTCTTTAATCACAGATGCGTTTTTTCATCTATTATCATCTTGAAGATGTTAAGCCCAGACCGCTTTTCATTTTGGCAGACCTAACTCCGAATATGTGAATGAATACCATTAAAGGACAAAACTCGTAATCAAAATAAAAATCTCAAATCCACACAGAGGTGGATGAATAATTATTATATTTCAGTCATTATTATCATCATCCTGTTGCAGTTTACGTTGAGCTGGACAAGGTGCACGATTTTCGGCTTCACGCATCTCGTGATTGCCTGCCTTTGTTTTTTTACTGTTTCAACGTTAATTTGGAATAAAAGCTTACTCTACAGTGATATTCGATACCATCCCTTTTTTAGATTTCGCAAACCATTCCTCAGCTAAAATAAATAACTTGATAAAATTTAGAAGTGCAGCCTCTATTGCCTTTCCCTAAATCCGGCCCTGATAAGTGTTGGTCCAGGTGAACGTGTAACGTATGAAGTTTATGGGACATTCTGCAGTGCATAATTTGAAAGCATAATAATTAAGACTGTTCCAGGCTTGTTTTACGATAGTATTAAATAATTCTGTGAATTTGTCACTGTTCATTTGTTTTTACTTTTAGTCCGACGAAAATACCCGCTTTTAATTTAGTCAGGGCTCGGAACGGGTTTAAAAAGAGCGGTTAATTTCGATTAATTACCGGTAAATTTATCGCTCCTTCAATTACCGGTTAAAAATTAACCGGTTTTTATTAAACCTAAACGATAAAGGTTACCGGTTACATAACGGTTTCGATACCCAAATTAATCGGTTAATTCCGTAAAACGTAAAGGCAGTTATGAATAGGACAGGTAGATTCACGTTGCGAGGTGCTTATGCGGCATCGCCACATGCGGGCACACTTATCAATTATCTGCCTTTACATTGTTTTAGTCGCGATCAGGGTGTGTAGTGGGAGTTTGGCGTTTACGAAAAACGTGAAAGTATTACAGAAGTTTTGAAGAAAGAAAGGCAGTTGTTGTGTTTGGTTTATTCGTTAAAACTGGACTTGTCTCATAATGAAGAAAATAATTTATTCTTGTGAATCGGTTGTTTATTTATGATTGGCAGAAAAAAAGTAAATAGAATTTATTCCATGTTTACGTTTTAACAGTGATAGAGCCACGCGGCAGCTTTTGCTATCGCATAGATGGGCCAGCTCGAACCAGGGTAGTACCACGACCTCACAGAATACAAGCGTGAAGTAGAAGTTTACTTCTGCGTTTCGCTTGGTAGGTGTAGGTGGTCGGAGGCCCAATTCCCCCCCCCCCTTAAAATATGGTAGCGGAATCAAATAAAAAATACCCCAGGGGGGTACCAGAATCCTGGTGACGGAGAATCCTTCGCTGAGCACCCACGCCCAAGCTACCCTACTGTTCCTGAGCATGTGTGCTCAAGCTGCCCCGCGTATTCTGGTATACGGGGGAAGGGTGGTGGGGGTATCCGCAGAGATCGTGTACTTGGCAATTTTAACGTCCATCACGCCGAATGGCTCGGTTCACATTTAACCGATCATGTGGGGAAATTCGTTTATGACTTTGCCTTGGCATATGGTTGCACAGCTGGTTACTTTGCCTACGCGGATTCCAGATGTGGAGGATCATGCGCCTTCCCTGTTGGAACTTCTGCTGACCTCTTATCCGGACGGATATCAGGTTTCCGTCGACACCCCTCACGGCTCCTAGGGCCATTGTCTTGTCCGGAGGGTGGTGTCACTCACACTATTTTCGCGGTTGCATTCTGCAGGTAGCCGCCGTGTTTGGCACTATAGATTGGCCGATTGGGAAACATAGATATAGTATACATTAGATTGGCAATGGCGTGATTAGGGTGAGACCAAAAACGAAATGTACCCGTGTGAGTGAAATGTGCATGTGTGCGACAACAGTAGTGCTGCGCCATGTATCAACTTTAATTATCGATACAGAACGCTGTGTCTGTGTCATAAAATGAATATTATTATGTTTGAGGGCATAAAAATAAAACTACAAACAAAAAGTTTGTGATTTTTATTGTCCACCAAAAATAACTAATTTATTGTAAAAATGTCGTAAGCTCTCCTTAGAGGTATTTTGCAATTTTGCTTCATACTTTAATCTGATAACCAAATAAGTTTCAATTATTAATTTAATAATTAAGTGTTTATGGTTTGATAATGCTGGCGAATCGTACATATGTATGTCAAGTATGTTAAAAAATGTTTGCAGGACACAAGGCATTCGTTTACTATTTTTTGAAATATGTTTTCGTTTACAATTTTTCCTTTTACGTGTTTTCGGAAAACTCGTTCAGAAAAGACACCTATCTCATAAACGTCTTGAAAGGGATTCACGAGGCCACCTACGTCTTTCATGTTTATTAGTGAACCTTCCTTAACTTCACCGTAAAGTACATTTACACAGGATTCGCATTTAATTTTATTTGCTTTTTTTTCACCACGTAACCACATATGTACTGAACAATGGACTTACTACACTACAGATTCCATGCCTTCAGGTATCCATGGCATAGATGATACGAAATCAGAATCTTCATTATCTATTTGGCCTGGGCCAATAGCCGCATCGTCGTTTGGCGTCGTTATTGCACTAAAGCCCGTTGTAGTATTTATTATATCTATAGCACACGATCTTTGTATGTTGAGCAAACTAATATTCTCCAAAGGCACACAATTGGCTTTATCGCTGATTTGGACTTCCAAGTGGCAGATTCATCGTTTGTATGCTGCTGTGAATTGTCTGGCTGTAGGATTGTTGTTAAATCCTCCTCTAGAACGTACTGCACTAAAAAAAGTTTCTATATGATCTTGAGAGAGTTTATAGGTCGGAAGAAACTTTAATTTTCCTGACTCTATGAAATCGACATATAGCCACTTCAAAGCTATTGTATTCGCAAAAAAAAAACCGATAAAACCAAGTTTTTTTCGACTCTCTATCAAAGCTTGGTTGTTGTATTTTAAATTTTTAATAAATTCACACACTTTGTCACATTCAGCTGTAACATTTTCAACATTATTTGCATTTAAGACCTTAAATCCGTAGCTGAGTAAATTTCTGAAGTGGAAAATGTCAAATATGCTGTTTATATGTTTTATAAAACCTGCTGTCGCTTGGCAATTTTCAAACATAGGTAATTTTAATACTTCTTTGCAAAACTCTAAGCTGGTTGCAACAGAATTACTCAACAGTTGCGCCGCTAATCGTACGTTCATTTTGTGATTTACAAAATTGTCATGTTTTTTGGTTACCTTATTTGCCAAATGCAAACCGACATAATGTTGAAGCTGGCAGAGATTTTCAATAAATTCACATTTAATAATATCATTATGATGATATTATTGTGGAATGATGAAGTGAAAGAAGCTGTAAAGAAGAAGAAGACGAAAGCATGGTTAGACTACTTGGCCTCTAGTAATGATAAGGATATGAGAGAGAAGATGAAAGAAAGATATAGGCTGCAGAAAGTTCACACGAAAGCACTGATTGAGGAAGTGCGTGAAAGGTGTAGAATGGAAGCGGACGAAAGGTTGTCGCACAACTTTAAGGAGAACTCCAAACTCTTCTGGAAAGAGGTTGGAAGGACCCGAAGTGGTACGACGGCCTTAAGAATATACAAAGTGCTTTCGAGAACTAATGACGTCCTCTCAGAAAAATCGGACGTCATGCAGCGATGGAGCGAATTTTATAGAGAAATGTATGCGTGTGATGATCTTAGTGGGGGATCCGGGGATGACGCCGTGACTGGTACGCCAGACCCGGACCTCGATGACACTGAGGTCATCAGTATGAAAGAGATTGAACGTGCGATTCGAAGTTTGAAATGTGGTAAGGCTGCGGGACTAGACAGAGTTACTGCTGAAATGGTCAAGTATGGTGGGCCTCGCGTCTGGGACAGCTTCCGTCTGCTGTGCAATTTGTGCTGGCGGACGGGGGATGTCCCGGATGATTGGCGATCCGCAGTCATTGTGCCTTTATATAAAGGTAAAGGTTCACATTTTGACTGCGGGTGCTATCGGGCGATCAGCTTGACCAGTTTAGCAAGTAAAGTTTACTCGAAGGTTTTGACACGTATGATGCAAGAGAAATCGGAAAGATTTCTATGGGAGGCACAATGCGGATTTAGACCTGGAAGAGGATGCACGGATCAAATGTTTTCTCTCCGCATGATCACGGAGAAGCTTCTGGCTGCTAACCAGAAGATTTTCTGTGCTTTTGTGGATCTTGAAAAAGCATTTGATAAGGTTGTAAGGAAGAAAATGTGGGAACTGTTGCCGGGGTATGGTGTGGATGGTCGATTGCTAAGGGCTGTGCAGTCTCTTTACTGTGGCTTTAAAGCCTGTGTGCGGGTAGGGCATGACCTGTCACCCATGTTTAACGTCCAAACGGGCGTAAAGCAGGGTTGTGTCATGTCTTTCTGGCTGTTCATACTGTATCTCGACAGCTGTTTACAGAAGCTGAAAGATAGCTGTTGGGTGTGAAATTGGGTGACATAAAAGTAAATTGTCTGCTGTATGCTGATGATGCAGTGCTTATTGCACCATCAGAGGCAGAACTGCAGGCATTAGTCACGTGTATGAAAGAGGAATGTGAAATTAAAGGTCTCCGTTTGAATGCTAATAAAACTAAGGTTCTGGTATTTGAAAGGAACTAAGAGAGAACGAAGTGTGAAATATGGGTAAATCAGGAATGTCTAGAACAGGTAAATGAAATTGTATACTTGGGGAGTGCTTTTAGCCGGGATGGAAGATGTGATTTAGATGTGGACAGGCGTGTCGCTGCCGGGAACAAAGTCAAGGGTGCCCTAACTGCG